TGTAATCCACAAGGCAAGTTACTCTGGGATCCCGTGGTGGGGGCCCCCGAGGAGCACATTCCAGCACGCATGTGTTCATGTGCAGGTGGTCCTAGCACCTGGAAAGTAGACGCCTGCAGTCGCTGACCCCCTGGGGCCCACAGACCAGAGACTGAGAACTCCACTGACACCTCTTCTCTGGACCCACAGTGACACTACTGGCAGAGGGGCTGCACCCACCCCAGGTGAGAAGTGCTGTTCTAAGCCCTGGAAACAATGCCTGAAAGTAAGCCCCTACCTTTCTGTCTCCCACCTCTCCCTCCTCAGAGGACCCACTCCCATGTCTAGTCTGGTGAAATGTTCAGACCCAAAGGCTGTTTGGGTCTGCTGTAGCCCCAAGGATGCAAACCCCACATAAAGGAAGAATGTCAACTTGGATATGACACCCAACTGATTTATGATCATCTATATGATCCTGTGATTGATGTCAGAGGGCTGACTCTCAAGGCTGGATGGGGCCTTAGAGGGGATCAAACTAAACCCCATCAGGTTCCTGGAACCCTCTCGCGATTCTGCATCTGCTTGTACACCTGCACAAAGAGGGAGCTCACCCCCTAACAAGCAGCCTAAATGTCAGAAAGCCCTTCCTCAGTCTGTCTCACTACTATTCTCATCTATGGGAAAAACAGTTGCTTCCACACACCAGCAGGCTCCATAGATGAGTGCTAACCTCTCTCAGTTGCTCGGCCCTCCCAAAAGTGCAGACAGACAAATACCCTCTACTCAGCCATCTACCCCTCCCCCCACACTCACCATTCTTCTATCCTCCACCCAGCTGGCCTCTCCTTATTGGGAGAGACAGCACAAATGCACCCTGGTCCTTTCTGCAGCAGCTGATAGGCCCTGTGGGGAAAAGACCTCCCTGTGACTTACAAAGCAGTGGTTCCCTGATCTGATCTGAGAAGAGCATGCAAAAAAGGCACACAGGTCCGGAAGGAATGGCCTGCAGCTTTATAGAACCCTATAGCAGCAGTCTGGAGAGGCTGGGTGCACAGAGCATGTGGGACTGGAAGAGGGACAAGTGGGAAGGCTACAAGGGCAGTCTCCTGGGGCTGGTGGCTGGAGGTGGGAAAGGGACCAGGGGTCAACCACGATCAGATACGGGTTTACAGGCTGGCTGTGGTGCAGTGTAGAGGCCAGGGAGAGTGGTGTAGTGTGAAGACCAGGGAGCCGAAGTCTGCCTGTCCGCATGAAAGAGGAGGTAGTCCTGAGAAGATGGAGGGTATGGAGAGAAGGGGCGTCTTGTGAGGCTAGGATTGTAAGGGAGGAGGGGTTGGACAGGTTTGAGGAGAGAGTGATCTCTTCCAGACACACTCAACCTGAGGTGCGGAGGAGAGATGGACATTCAGGAGATAACTGGTCACTGTCTATGTAGACCTAGAGTTCAGGAGTCAGCTTTGGGTACCAGCAGCAAACAAGGACAGAAAGCTGAGGGTGAGGGGCAGGCCACTGAGGAGCACATGCACAGGAGCAAAGAGGCGTCTGGTCCAGATCAGTCAGAGCCACCACACAAGAACCCGTTCCTGACTATTTTTCTAGGTACAACAGACAAAAGGTGGAAGCAGCTCAAGTATTAAACAAAACACACCACAGCCACACACTGGAATATTATTCAGCTATGAAAAGGGACAAAGTGCTGACTCATTACAACCCTGAAAACATGATGTTCAGTAAGAGGAGCCAGACACGTGTGATTCCATTTATGTGATATGTGTAGAACAGGCAAATCAACAGACAGAAAGTGGGTTTGTGGTTGTCAGAGGCAGGGGAAAGGGGATGGGGAGTGACTGTTGGTGGAGAAGAAGTTTCTTTTTGGGACAATAAGAATGTTCTGGAACTAGATAGTGGCGATAGGTACACAATTTTGTGAACATACTGAAAATCATGAATTGTACACTTTAAGTGAGTTGTATGGCATGAGAATTGTATCTGAATAAAGCTGTTGCTAACAAAAATTAAAAACATACTAAAAAGCAGGGCCAGTGAAGGAGATAGGAGGACAGAGAGAATGTACAGAGAGCCAGGAGAGTGGATTCCACACTCTACCTTATCTGGGCAGGGGCACCACTTACCATATTCATGTAATGCTTAAATGATGCAATGCACAGTTGTGTTCTGTCATTCCAGTCACACGTGAGGAAACTGGGGCAGGAGAAAGTGGCCACTCGCCCAAGTCAGTCAAGGGCACAAGTGTTCTGGCCAAGAGTGCCACATAAGGGGGAGCTTTGGCCATGTGCTCAGTCCCAGTGCTCGAGAAAGGTCTGCACTGGATGAGGAACTGTGGGACTTGCCTAGCTCCTGTCTGAAGTGGCTGGACCCGCAGGGAGATCGAGTGGGGAGTGGATAGGACCATTACCAGTGGAGCTGATGAGCAGGGGGCCACTGGAGCTGATGACTGGACAGAAACCAGACCACAAGGAGCTCTCAGGGCAGAAGAGCGGCCCCCAAACACTCCTTTCCCAGCTCCGCAGGCGGCCTGTACTAACCCCAGAATGGGTCTGGCCCTCAGCACCCACTCAAGCCACGGGCTCCAGCTCCAGCCTTGAGAGGGCACTGTGCAGGCTCTGGAGGGAAGTCTCTGCCCTCCCAGGACTCAGTCTGGACTCTAGTCCAGGGTCTCCCTGCTCAGCACTGCTGACACTGAGGCCAGGTCATTCACTGTGAGGAGCACCCTCTGCACAACAGATGTCCCCAATTGAGAAGCTTTGCTCTTGAGAAGAACTACAGGGGACCTGCAATTTGGCTGTTTCCTAAAAAACCAAGTCCCTTGATCTTGGTATCAACCAGAAATCCCTGAGCGGGCCCTCTAGACAGAGTGACTTTGGATCGTCATCCTTCTCAATGACACTGAGCAAAAGGTCCCCACAACTAAACCCACTTTGGACCTCCCCAAACTCAGGAGTTCCAACTGTACAAAACCTGCTTAACAAAGGTCCCAATAATTAGCACTGGTGGGTGAGTTCTGCTGAGACAGAGAAGATGGTGTAAAATCAATGCAGACCCACTTCTGAAGACTCATAAGGTTTTCCTGTTTACTTCCAAGTATTCCTCCCCCAACCCCAAACCACCACCACCATCAGCCAGTCCACGGGGTCTGAGTTTTAGGTGGGGCAGGGTGGGGAACTGGCCAGCACAGACACCTAAGATACTGCCCTCACCACAGAACTGTCCTTTTGACCCCAAAGCTGTCCAAGGCCTGGAACCCTGGTTTTGGGAGGGGGAGGGCCAGACTCCTTAACAAAACCCTGCTGGGGCAACCCAACTTCACATGTTGCACAAAGAAGGCAGTGGCCGGCACACCTGCTCCCACTCTTGGTTCAGAAGGAAACACCAGTACACCAGGGCCAACACAGAAGAGACCCTCGACATCAAAGGCCCCGACGGTCCGGGGGAAATTCTGTCCAATGAGCAGTCTAGGATGTGTTCTAGGGGACAATGTACCACTCTAGCCACTGTCCTTAGAGGATCTCATCAGCTTCCACCATCCAAATCCTGCTCCCACCTCCAGGGGACAACACCCAACCTCCTTCTTTTCAAAGTTCCTCACACCTGTCTCCACTCCAGGGAGGTTGGGCTAGGTATGCCACGGGTGGATGGTTTTTCTTTAGGTGAATAGTCCTCATTTAAAGTGTGGTAAGAAATGGTAGAGATTAAGAACCACAAATTGCCAGTTATAAAAATACTAACAGAGTGTAACATACGGCGTAAGGAATATAGTCAATAATACTGTATTAACTATGGGTGGTGCCACATGGGTACTAGATTTGGCTAGTTCCTAAAAATCACAGGTTAGGGTATGGGGCGGGGGCTGGTACTAGACCTCTATTGGCTGGGCCAAAAAGTCTGTTATGTTTTTTCTGTAAAATAAAACACATTTTTCATTTTTATCAATAACTTCATTGATTTGGATATTTGAGTATGTTGGCTATCTTCCACTATTGGCTTCTAGTGGTTAGAGGCCAGGAATGCTGCTAAACATTTTTTAATGCATAAGACAGCCCCACAGCAAAAAATTATCCAGCCAAAATGTTGTCAATGGTACCAAGAAACTTCACAAACCACTTCTGACATGTTCTATCAGTTACAGCACCTTCTCCACATACTGCACAAATCTTTTTGCATTTTTGCTTTTCTTGAAATAATAAAGCCTAATACGCTGAAAATGTTGAATATTTTCTTCCATATTCAATATTATAATGGCTGCACAAAAATTCACCAATTTTGCTGCTTTTTAAATGCACATGATATGACAGCTGTCACAATATAATCTAACAGAATAGTTTCAAATGAAGTAAAACTAAGCACTCCTAGGCCCATCATATGGAAAAAAATATAACAGATTTTTTGGACAACCCAGTATTTGATAAACATTTGTGGAGGGTGAGTATGAGAAGGTGGGGGGAGGTCATGAGTTGTAGGTGGCTCAGGTCAGGGAGGTCATGCAGGGCCCGGTTTGGGGAGGAGGCTCAGATACGGGGAGATCACAAGGTATTTAAATGTCTAATCACTATGTTGTATACCTGAAACTAGTAATGATACTGTATGTCAACTATTTAAAAAAAACCCTATATTAAGATTGGAGGGTGGTGGTAAACAGTAGACACAGCTTCATCAGCAAGAGGCATGAGGACATCTCTTGGTGGACTGGGATAAGGGGATCTAGTTCCAGCCTGCCAAGTACCTGAACAAAAGGATCATTTGGGGGAAAACAGGGAAAAACAGGCTTAGGCTAGAAATCCTCAGTGGTGGGTCTCAAGCTTTGAGTTGGGGGCCGGTCTAGAAGGTGCAAGACCAATGCAGGGGTCGGGTGGGGCACAGTTTTTAGTAAAAGAAAACAACTCTAGCAGGGGAGGGCAGTCCACTCTTGGGGCAAGATTGGGGGTTGTGGGGGGCCTGACTTGTGCTTGCAGGAAGAGACAGATTTGTCTGGATCTCAGAGCAACTGGGCCCCGACAGGTTACCTTAGATTTTCGTGGGGCCAGAGCCAAAATGGGAGAGCTTGATTCTGGGTGGTTGCAATGGGTCAAGCTGGAAGTAAGTATAGAGGATTAGAAAACAGAGGAGCTGGGAGTGCGAGGAGCACTTATGCATTCAAACCGCATTGCCCAAGTGCTTCTGTGTGTCAGGAGCGGAGACGGTGCGGTGAATACAACGGGCGCCCAGACAGACAGGGTCTCCAGACCTCAGCCTGCTTAACTCAGGGTCCACAAAGCTCAGATTGAATTTTAGTGGGGCGAGGGCTGGTTCGAATCTGAATGAGTCGCAACGGCTACGGGAGACTGTTTAAATTTGGGCTGGGATGGTGGGAACTTGGAAGACCCGGGTTTGACAAGCCAGAGATGAATAGTGCAGATCAGGGCATGGGTTCCCTCATTTTTGGCTTTGGGGGGCAGAACTCGGTCCCATGTTTATAAAAGGGTTGTGGAGTAGAGAGCTGCAGGTGGCCTAGGCTGGGTAGGTCATTCAGGGCCGTGTTTGGGGGTGAGGCTAGGATTTTGGGAGTTAAGACTGTAGTAGGATGCTGAGATCACCCTTGGCCTAGGTTAGCGTAGGGAGCGACGTTCGGGGGTCCTGCCGCCTCCTGGAAGGCCCTAGGTTGGGGGTCGCAGCATGGCCCGCCGGCTCGGGTCCAGGGGGCTCTGAGTTGGTCCGCGCCGCCCCCTGGCCCGTCTCGGGGGACGCGGCTCGGGACTGGGGGGTGGGGGCGGGTCCCCAGATTCCGGCCACCTCACCTGGCTCGCTCCCGTCACCCGCCGGCTCCGTCAGCACCGCCTCTTCCGGCGCCGTGCCGCGCCGCCTCCACTGCCCGCAGCCCCGCTGGGTCCGGCTGCGGCCGCCACTGACGGGGTCCCCGGTTCCGCGCTCCTTAATATGGCGGCTATCGCGACTCCGCGGCCTCCCGCGCCCTCCACAGCCGCGCGCGCTCCCGCGGCCGGCCACGCCCCCGCGCTGGCGCGCTGCGTGCCGCTGCCACGCCCCTGCGCCCCCCCGGCCACGCCCTCCTCACGGGACTGCGCCTGCTTGCGATTGGCATCCCGGGAGGACGTGACGTAGCCGGCGATTCGAATCAATACAGGAAGCGCGGGGCCACGCGTTGCCAAGGGCAACCGCTGCCGGAAGAGGACCTGGGGCGGGGTGGAGGTGGCTCCCTGGAATATAGAAAAAAGCCCCTGCTTAGTTTAGGGCGTGGTTCTTAATGGGGGGGGGGGGGCGTAGCAGAAAGCGGCGCTCAAGGCCAGGCCCTCCATAGGGTGGATGGAAGCTAAACCTACTCGGCAATGAGGCAGTCACACCGGGGATCGACCCTATGACAGGTGTATAAGCGGGACCCTACTGCCAGGCCTATGGACGTTTCATATTTCATTCAATAAACACGTTGCTCCTACTGAGTGCTCCGCCAGGCCCGCCAAGCAGGAACCAGTACAGATAAAAATCTCTGCTCCAAAAATGTGGTAAGGATTCCAACAGGCAATTCTCAAAAGAAAATAAATGGCCCTGGCTGGCGTAGCTCAGTGGATTGAGCGCGGGCCTGCGAACCAGAGTATCGCGGTGCGATTCCCAGTCAGGGCACATGCCTGGGTTGCAGGCCAGTTCCCGGCAGGGGACGCATGAGAGGCAACCACACATTGATATTTCTCTCCCACTCTTTCTCCTTCCCTTCCCCTCTCTCGAAAAATAAATAAAGAAAATATTAAAAAAAAAAGAAAAATCTTTAAAAAAAAAAAAAGAAAATAAGAAAATGAATGGCCCACAAGCACATGAAAAGCTCCTTGCTCACCATCATTAGTCATTAGGGAAACGCAAATCAAAACCACAGTGCGATACCAATTCATGTATGTTATAGTGACAATTATTTTAAAAAAAGGACCCTCCCCCACCCCAGAGTATACCAAGAGTTAACAAGTGTCGGCCAAGATGTGGAGCAACTGGAACCCTCATACATGGCTAGTAGGGATGGAAAATGTTGCAGCCACTATGGAAAACAGCCTAGTGTGATTCCTCAAAAAGGTAAACATAGACTGACCATATGACCCAGCAATTTCATTTCTAGGCATATAACAAAGAATATCAAAGATGTGTCCACAGAAATATTTGTACACGGATGTTCATAGCAGCATTATACATAATAGCCCAAAACTGCAAACAGCCCATCAACAAGTGAACGAATTATGGATAAACAGAATGTCTTATGTCCATATCATGGCATATTGTTTGGCACTAAAAAGGAGTGAAGCACTGACACTTGCTACAAAGTGAATGAGCCTGAAAACATGATGCTCAGTGAGAGAAGCCAGACACAAAAGACCACACAGTATGTGATTCCATTTACATGAAATGTCAAAAACAGACAAATTTTGTTCTAGAATAGGAAGTGGATTTGAAGTTGTCAGGGGGAGTGGGAGGGGGAGGAGAGTGGCTTTTAGGGACCTCCTTGTTGGGGTGATGAAAATGTTCTAAAATTGTGTGGTGATGGTTGCACCACTCTGAATATACTATACCTCATTGTATTATACACTTTAAATTAGTGGATTTTAGAAGATGTGAATTAGATCTCAGTGAAGCTGTTGTAAAAAAAAAAAATCCTGTCTGCTGGACCTGAATTATAGAATAACAAAAACAGGAAAGTGAAGAGTAGAGGGTTATAGTGTCAAATATGGTGATGGGGAGGGTCTCACTGCAATGGTGACCCCTGGGCAAAGATTGGAGAGGAAAGAGCGCGCGGTGGTGCATAACTTCTGTTCATTTGGTATGAAATTACATAACATAAATACTTGTTTATCTGATTTCAGGGAACCCCACAACCACTGTAGGATTTAGAAAAATGCCATCCAATAGAAGCATAACATGAGCCACTTAAATAATTTAAAATTTACTAGTAACCACATTTAAAAAGTAAGAAGAAACCAGAATAATTAATTTTAATAACATACTTTATCAACTCAATATGTCAACATGAAATCAAAATCAACAATCATCAGTGAGATATTTTACGTAATTTTTCTCCTACGGGTCTTAAAATCCAGTGTGTATTGTATATTTACAGCTTATTGCAATTTGGGTTCTAATTTTCACTGGAAATACTTGATCTCTATGTATGCTTTATAAAATTTTATACTGGAAACCTAGATTCACAGAGCCCAGGTGTTCCAAGAATGCTTACGAGTTTTCCAAAACTGAACTGAATGTCAGATTTTTCCATTTCCATTTAAAGTACTTACAATTTTAAAAGTTAAAGATTCAATTCTGTAGTGGCCATATTTCAAATGCTCCGTAGACACAGCTAGCCAGTAGTTACTACATTGGATGGTGCAGATACAGAATGTGTCTGTTGTAGAAAACCCTGTTGGACAAACAAGGTTCAAGGCAGTGCCAGGCACAGACTAGGAGATCAATAAATGTCAAATGAAGAAACTGCTGACTATCTGCTCCTCCAGTCTAGGTCCAATTTATCTCTTTCCTCAGGCTCAGTACCAGACTCAATAAACACATGTCTAATATTTATTGCTTCTCACCCCACACACAAATTATCAACATTCAGATCAACAGCTAAAACGTGACATGTAGAACTAAACAAAATGATTTAGATGTACTGCACCTTAAAAAAAAATTCTGATGGTGATGAAAAAGTGTCCAAATCCATAATACTTCTCCCTTTTGTTTCAGACAAAACTCGATGCACGCCCAGGGAGCAAAAGAATGTGAGCGAATTTGATCTGAATTAGAATCTCACCTCTGCCATCTGACTTGGTTGTTTTATTCTTAATAAAGACAGAATTGGACAGGGCTGGGTGAGAGTTATGCACAGCCCAAGGTGGATCCTGTCTTTATTTAAAAGTATGGGGTTTTTTTTTGCATGAATTTTGAATGATTGAAAATACTGCATTGATGAGGGAGAGATGTGTTATAAAAGAACAGCACAGGAGATAATTGTGCATTAGTTTCTGATTGCCACTATAACGAATAACCATAAACTTAGCTTCAAATGACACAAATTTACTATCTTTCCTCTGGAAGTCAGGAATCAGACAAGGGACCCATGAAGCTAAACCCAGGTGTGGGTAGGGCTGGTCCTCCTGGAGGCTCCAAAGAGAACCGTTTCCAGCTTTTTCCAGCTCCTAGAGGCGCAGCACCCCTGACTCGTGGCCCCTTCCTCCATTGTCACAGCCAGCAGTGTAGCCTCTTCCATCTCTGACTGTGACCCTCCTGCCTCCCTCTTATGGGGACCCTGTGATGACACTCGGTCCCCTGAGTAATCCAGGATCACCGCATCTCCATTTTAACATCCTTGACTCAATCCCACTTGCAAAGTCCCTTTTATACTGTGTAAAATAACGTATTCGCAGGTTCCGGGGATGCAGGCACGGACATCCTTTGGGGAGCATTCTACAGCTTGCCACATTTGTGGTGTTGCCACTATTTTTATATTATCGCTGTGGTGTGGATACAGGAACTTACACAGTAACAACATTGTACAGAATTTAATGCACACACACATATAATGGGTATAAGGAAAACTGGAGTTATCTGAATAAGATTGGTGTATTGTGTCAATGTCAGTATCTTGGCCATGATATTTACTAATGTTTTGCCTGTGTTTTGTGCCAGTTAGTATTGGGGAAAAGTGGGTGAAGGGTACACTGCATTCTCCATGTTAGTTCTTCTTTTTTTAAAGGCTTTATTTATTTTTAGAGAGAGGCGAAGGGAGGGAGAAAGAGAAGGAGAGAAACATCAATGTGTGGTTGCCTCTTGTTCACCCCCTACTGGGGACCTGGCCTGCAACCCAAGCAAGTGCCCTAGCTGGGAATCAAACCAGTGACCTTTTGGTTCACAGGCTGGCACTCAGTCCACTGAGCCGCACCAGTCAGGGCTCCATGTTAGTTCTTACAACTGCATATAAATTTACAATGATCTCAATGTAAATGTCAATTTTAAAAAGATTTAAAAATTGCATTAAAATATTACTGAGCTCATTTACTGAATTTTGTAGGCAATTTTCAATTTTGTGTTCATCCCCTACCCACACTGCCACACTGTGTCCTCTCTCTGGTCTCACTTGCGGAGAGTATTATTTGATTCTTATTTATTTTGCCCTTTTAAGCAGAGGTTTGCATTTGGACAAACTAGAAGTCCGGAGGGGTGACAGAGCCCAGTAGACATTCGATATATTGTTCCTGGGTTCTGCACTGGGTGCAGAAAGAGAACGGTGACCAGAGCCTAGAGGAAGTCTCTCCTTCCACCTGCGCTGGGGCAGAAGGCCAGGCTGGATGCCCAAGCTGAGATTAGTAATAGAACTGCTACGGACTCTACAGTGTTTCCCAAAATGACATGTCCGCATCCACACATCTGATACCTGGAAATGGGACCTTGTTTGGAAACTGGGTCTTTGCAGACAGAATCAAGTTAAGGTGAGGTCACACTGGAATAGGGTGGGCCCCCAGTCCAGCTACTTGTATGCTTATAGGAAGAGGGAGATTTAGACACAAGCACAAGGGGACAACCACAGGAATGTGAGGCAGAGACTAGAGGGCCGCATCTATGAGCTGAGGACTGCCAGCCGTCACCCAAAGCTGGAAAAAGCAGGAAGGACCCTCCTCTGAGGCCCTCAGAGGGCGCACAGTCCTGTCAGCAACTTGAGTTTGGGTTCCTGGCCCCCATGACCTTGCTCAAGTGAAGGGGAGGCCCAGAACAGAAGGTGCAGGTTTCCCTCCTGCTATCAGGTTCTCACAGGTCTGCAGGTCCAAGGTTCCAAGTTCCCTGACAGACACAGACCTTGCTTTTGGGTGTGGCTTCCATATCTGTTTCCTGCACCCCTTGGCCTATCTCCTTCCCCCAGAGGAGCCTTGGGGCTGATGACTCCTGGCCCGCTGCCTTGTAGCCTTCCAGAGTCAAAACAGGCATGACCATTGGCCTGAGCCACAAAACGTAATCTAGATGGTGTACTTGCAAGCCAGCAGAGGTGGGCCACAAAGCCAGTTACTTATCCGGGGTCAGCTTTAGAATGCACAGGAAGACAATGAAATAATCATAATAATCAGAAAGTTCGCTTCATGAAGCTGGAGACAATGACTCATTCTATGTCTTCCATAGGGACAGTGCCTGCTCCACACTCAGTGTTCAGCAAATATTTGTGACATGAATGACGGAAAGTGTTAAACCTCTAGGGAGCCTATCAAAGTGAGTTTGTTGCTACACATGGCATATTTAATCCATTATTTTTTAATCAGTCCCCCTATTGATGGATGATCCACTTATTCCTTTCTCAAGTCTTTATTCAGCACCTACTATGTGCCAGGTGTGCCATAGTTGCTGGTGGTCTACTTAATGAGGTCCTGGAGCCCATGTGTATTGACTTCCAAGAATCACTGGTGAGACTGGTGAGTGTTTGCCAGAGAATCACTGGTGAGTGTTTGCAACAGGAACTGGCAAACACTACAAATCAGGGCCAATTTTTATTTTCCAGTGAGACTGTATCATATCATGGCGATCAAAGCAGACAAAAATCCCTGCTCTCGTGGTACATCAGTGGGAAAGATAGACAGTAACCAAAATAATTAGAAGGACATAACGGGAAAATATAGGTGCTATGTGGAAAATAAAGCAGGGAACTGGATACAGGAATGTTGGGGGTGAGGTTATAATTTGAATTAAAGTGCTCAGGGAAGGCTTCATTGAAGAGGTAACATTTAAGCAAAGGAGCAAAGATTCAGTGAGGGAGTGAACAGAGGTATTTGGAGGAAAAAAACGTTTCCTGTAGAGTGCACAGCCTGTGCAAAGGAGAAACAGCAGTAGGCTCATGTGGCTGGAGCAGAGGGAGTGAGGGAGAGAGGGGAAGTCGAGAGCAGGGGGCGGGTGGGAGAAGGGGGTGGAGAGGTCTTGTGAGGAGGACTTGGACCTTCACCCTAAAGGAGTTGGGAGCCCAGGAGGGCCGTGGGCATCGCAGAGCCGGAACCTGACTTGGGTGCTCACTGGCGCCGTCTGGTGGTTGCTGCAGAGCATACAGGCAGAGGAGAGGGGCAGGAGCCAATGATCAGGGGTGCAGGAAGACTTGCCCTGGTTCAAGTAAGTGATGCTGGGGGCTGGAGGCCCCCAGTGATGCCCTGGTGGAGGCAGAGGTGGGGCCGTTAGTGTTAAAATTTTTTTTGCCATTTTAAATAATGTTGCAACAAGTGCTTAATTTTCACATTTTTATTTTTATGAAATTTTTAACATTTTAATACAGTTGAGATCAGCGTATCTGTCCCATCTCAGTTCTTTCACTGCCAAACCTGGGGGCAGGGACTGCTTCAGTTTCTCGGCCTTCTCTTTGTCCGTGATGACCAAGGGAGAAAGTTATCTGCTGCATTGGACTTTAAACTTTACACTATCCTTATTTTTTCTTATCTTGACAGATTTGGCATCTTATCTTTGGCTATCTTGCCAGTCCTTGGCATCCAAGGACTACTGGCTGTGAGCAGGAAGTCCTTGATTTCCTTTGGTTATTTAGCCTTTGGAGAAAGAGAGAGAGAGAGAGAGAGAGGGAGAGAGAGGAACATCGATTGGTTGCCTTCCCTAGATGTCCATAATGGGGATTGAAGCTGCAACCTAGGTATGTGCCCTGATGGGGAACTAAACACTCAACTCTCTGTTATGGGACAACTCTCCGACCCACTGAGCCACACCAGCCAGAGCTCCATAGTTTTTCAAGGCATAGCCACGAGGCACAAGGCACACTGGACAGTGTGTGGCTGGCACCTCGGGTTACCCCACAATCCCCCACATACTGCCCATGAGGCTCTCACAACAAGGGGCAAGAAGCAAAAAGCCACTTTCACTTTTTTAAAAAACACTGCTGCCATGAATTCATCAAAATGGATTTTCAGATTCAAAGGTTTCACACTTAAAAGTTAAAACACAGGTCAAATGTTTAAGTTTGAAATGTTCAAATACTGAGAATAGAAGTAGCCCTCCTTCCCCACTACCAGTTTTTCTAACATTTTCTTATGAAAAATTCCAAATGTATAGAAAAGTTGAAAGAATTTTACAGTGAATTGTCATATGTTCACAGTCTACTTTCTCCAATTGCCATTTTCTGTTTGCTCTATTTATACCTATCCATAAATATATCAATTTTTTACTCATTTTAACATAAGCTACATTTATTAGGATGGCTATCAAAAGTTGGAAAATAAGCCCTGGCTGGCATAGTTCAGTGGAGTGAGCGCGGGCCTGGGAACCAAGCAAGCATGGTTCGATTCTCAGTCAGAGCACATGCCTGGGTTGCAGGCTAGTTCCCAGCAGGGGACACACAGGAGGCAACCATACATTGATGTTTCTCTCCCTCTCTCCTTCCCTTCCCCTCTAAAGATAAATAAATAGAGGGGAAGGGGGGAAGGAGAGAGGGAGAGGAACATCAATGTATGGTTACCTTTCGTGCGTCCCCTGCTGGGAACTGACCTGCAGGGAACCAGCCTGCAACCCAAGCATGTGCCCTGACTGGGAATCGAATCGTGATCGTGTGGTTCGCAGGCCCGTGCTCAATCCACTGAGCTACACCAGCCAGGGCCTAAAGATAAATAAAATATTTTTTTTAATTAGAAAAAAAAGCCAATTAAAAAAATTGGAAAATAACAAGCTTGGTGAGAATGTGGACAAGTTGGAACCTTTGTGCACTGTTTGTGGGAATGTTAAATGGTGCAGCCACTGTGGAAAAATTTGGCGGTTTCTCAAAAAGTTAAACACAGAGTTTCCATATGATCCAATAATTCTACTCCTAGTTATCTACCCCCAAGATCCAAAATTAGGAAATCAAATAGATACTTTGCACGCCCCTGTTAACTGATGCATGGTTCACAATAGCCAAAAGGTGGGAACGACCTGTCTATGAATAAACAAAATGTAACCCATCCAGTACAATAGAATATTATTCGGCTTTGAAAAGGAAGGAAATTCTGACAAATTATGACTAATGTGGATGAACCCTGTGGACATTATGCTCAATGAAATAAGCCAGACACAAAAGGACAATATTGTATGATTCCATTTCATGAGGCCCCTAGGGGTGTCAAAAGCATACAGATGGGAAAAATGTATAATGGAGATTAGCAGGACCTGAGACCACTGTGAATAACGCTGCCGTGAACACGGGTGTACAACTGTTAAGAGTATCTGCCTTCATTTCCTTTGGGTGTATACCTATGGTAGCTCTATGTTAACTTTTTGAGGAACCACCATACTTATTTGACATAGTCGCTTAAAATTCTTTTTCTGGTGTGGATAGCATCCTGTTGACAGCCAATGGTGGCTTGGATGGTTACGGGGGTGGAAAAAATGAGCGGAGTGGCTAGATTCAGACTATTTCACAGGTAGAGTCAACAGGACTGTGCATAATGTCAACATCCTTGTACTTACCCTCGACAGGATAAGGCTCTTTCTCCCAAATTTCATAACCAATCCATCTGCAAATCCTGTTTGTTCCACATTCGAAATTAACCCAGAAGACTCCGGTTGTGGTTTTTGTTTTGTTTTGTTTTGTTTTGTTTTGCCCACACACCAGGTTGAATGACCCCCAGGTAAGCCAGGGCACGTCGTTTCTCAGATAATGACACTTCAGTGTCTTCCCAAGGGTAGAACCTGCAGGACGCCTAGTTTTCAGCGCCTGCTCCGTAAAACAATTGTGTCATTTTTTAACCCCCTAGGTTCCCAATCTCCAAGGAATCCTTGGCCACGCCTTTGACTGCGGCTCCGGGACGCTGCGCAAACTCTGTCGCTAACCACCGTTCTTCCGACTCCGCCCCGGGTTGAATCGGCACAAGCCATTTCCACTTATCGTACAGGGTGGGTAGACCGTAAGACTCTTTCGGAGAAAGGATGGGCGTTGCACTCCCCATTCCTGATGACTGCTTTTAGAGGCCTCCTGGGGTGGGAGTGGGAGCTGTGCCAGTGGTGCCCACGCGCGCTTCCGGGCAGCTTTCTGCCGCGGAGCGTTTGACTGTGTCTCTCCCCCAGCGCTGCATTGGTGCTGTCCGTCCAGGTCACGTGGGTGCCAAGATGGCGACCCCTAGAGCACACGGCAAGCTTCAAGGTGTGTGAAGCGGTGGCGGCTGCGGAAGCGGGTCAAGTGTGTGGGTTTCACGTTCGTGGAGCTTGTTGGTTCGTTCGGCGCCGGGGAGCACGGTACGGGGTCCGGACATGGCGGGCGGGCACGGGGAGGACGCCCCGTTGGAGGGGTTCCTGGCCCTGGGATCTGTTGGCCGGTGGTTTGCGGTCCTTACTCCTGAGGGGTCTAGAGTCCCGGCGAGTTCCTGCCCTCGGGTTCTGGGGACCTTATGTGTCCAGGGAGTCCTTTGTTGGGAACTCAGCGCGTATTGGGGGTGTCCCATGTGAGACGACTCCTTCGGAGGAGTGGACAACCTACTTGTCAGGAAGCCGCGTAGACGGATCTTGAGTCATCTGGTTCCTAAGGGGTCTCTTCCAAGGAAAGGGATCCAGCGAGCAGCCCTGAGGGATTCCGTGTGGGACGATCCCTCGGGGGAGGGCACAGTCTAGGTACTGGAGATCTTTTTGTTGAGAATTCTTGGTATTGAGAGAGGTCTCTAGGAGGGGAAGGGATTTCAAGGATACAGGTTCTCCTTTCCATCCCTTACTAATTCATCTCTTTTCCATCCCTTACTCAGAGACACTGTGTGTCTCTGAGACTTTCACAGGGATGCACGGATCTCCACATTCCGCCTTCTTTGGGGGCTGATTCCCTCAGTCCCACGCCCACACCCGGGGCCCCTTTCCCACTAAAACAATGGGCCTCAAGTGTAAGTGGACCCTCCTTAGATCTCCTGAGCACGGAGGTGGGCGTGGGGCTCTCTGTTGCTTCCTGCTGAAATATTTAATACTAGCTTAGGTTTTGCTATCCTCGTGCTGGACAGCTCGTGTCAGCGCTTGTATTTGGCACTGTACAGGTGATAGTGGGCTTATACTGTGTGTAAAGTTTTAGTAGCGTGCCTGGCAGGTAGTAGAGGTTCAGTTCATCCTACAAAGATGTATAAAGTGCCAGTGCCTGTCAGGAGCCCTGGATCTTGTCTGCCCTTGACTCACTGTGGCACGCTACTGGCTTTTGTGGATTCTGATGATTTAGGAGTCACTTCCTTTGATGGACACCTGTGCCCAAGCAGGTGTGCCTCCCTCATTAAACCCCAGGTGGGCTCTGCTGATGCTGCTGGGAACCAGAGGGCTACTGGCATGTTGCAGCCTGCTTGTCATGTTTCTGATGTGGCCACCAGGTCCTTTTTCATCTTATTCCATGCGTTCAATGCAGCTTCTGGTTTAGAGCTTGATGCCCTAAACCAGTCCCCCGGATTTATAACTTCGTGTGGTTTCTAAGCAAGTCATTAATCTATCTGCGCTTCAGTTTCCTCTCCTATAAAATGGTGACAGTCCTAGTGGCTGTCTCACCTGGTTATGGTGAAGGTTAAATGAGTGATGACTGAATGAGCTTGGCACACAGCACATGCCCTAAATGTCTGCTGCCATTCCTGTTAGGGTTACTGTTCTTACTGAGGACCTCCTGTGTAAGAGAACACAGCAGTGACTAAGAGAAACTCGATCCCTGCTTTCAGAATTCTCCTTTTCTGGTGAGGGATCAGAATGAGCTAAACTGATATATACAATATGGCATTTAGTAGTAGTAAGCGCTTCAAAGAAAGATAAAGGAGAACAAGGGAGAAGAGATGGAGGAGTAACACTGAAGATTGTGATCAGGGGAGGCTTCCCTGAGGAGGTGACATCTGAGACTCAGGGAAGTGAGAGAATGAGCATGGGGGCATTTTGGGGAGAGTGTTCCTGATGGCGAGGGCAGCTCGTGCAAAGGCCCTGGGGCAGGACTGTGCCTGGTGTTGGGGACAGTGAAGGGGCCTGTTTGGTGGAATGGAATGAGTAAGGGGAGAGGGAGGAAGTAAGGGTGGGGAGGGGACAGGGGCAGGCCACACAGGGCCTTTGGGACTCAAGGAGTTCAGAGTAATGAGACACCATAGGTAGATTTTGCAAGGGAGCCACATGGTAGGTTTCTGTGCTGAGAGAATTCCTGTATCAGTTGCCTGTGCTGTGCAACAAATCACTATATTTTTCGGACTATAAGACGCCCCCCCCCCACATTTGGGAGGAATAATGGTTGTTAATGCTGCTGTTGAGTTCTGTTTACATTTGTGAAATATTACATTATTTATGTTATTAAATATTTTACCACATTTTTTGCTTCAAATTTTCCCCCTCTAAAACCTATGTGCATCTTATGGTCAAAAAAAATACGGTATAGTTTTTCTTAGGACCTATCCTCAGAAGTCACACTGTCATTTCTTCATATCGTTTACACAGGTAAGTTCTCATTGTGTCAGGGGCCACACAGGGCACAGATACCAAGAGGTGGGGGTCATTGAAGGCTGTCTTGGGGACCAGTCCCTCTGGCTACTGTGTGGACAGCAGACCAGCGGAGGTCATTGGTGATATATAGGCTAAAGGCCCAGAGAGGGAGTCTATCTTAGGGAAGTCCACACAGTAAGTGGATGGGGCCAGAGCCAGACTTTCACCCTGAATACCCAGGCTGGACAGTGGGTAGGAAGCCACTTCACCAGGTTCTAAATTAAATGAACAAGTCAGTGAGCAGAAGGACACCTCTAACCTGGCTTTTTTCTGTGGTAAGGTTTTTGTGCCTGAGAGGAGCTGCGGAAAGAAAAAGGCGTGTGCCATGGTGACAGAGCAGGAGGTGGATGCCATTGGGCAGACACTGGTGGACCCTCAGCAGCCCCTGCAGGCCCGCTTCCGGGCACTCTTCACACTTAGAGGGCTCGGTGGCCCGGGTGCCATTGCCTGGATCAGCCGGGCCTTCTGCGATGACTCCGCCCTGCTCAAGCATGAGCTGGCCTACTGCCTGGGCCAGATGCAGGACCGCCGGGCCATCCCTGTGCTGGTGGACGTGCTACGTGACACCCGCCAGGAGCCCATGGTGCGCCACGAGGCAGGTGAGTGATGAGGTCCACTCTCACTCATGCATGGTCCAAGCCCAGGCTCAGCAGACCTTCTCTGTAGAGGGTGGGTAGTATTTTTAGTGCCACTGGCCAGCCAGGCTGTTGCCACAATGCGACTCTGCCATCATAACATAAAAGCCACCATAAACCAGAGTCAGCACATAGGTGTAGCCACATACCAGTAAAGCTTTGTGGATGCTGAGATGTGAATTTCATATAATTTTCACATGCCATGGAATATTATCCCTTTGACTAAAAAAGGTTTTATTTTGTTTTAACTATAAAAACCATCCTACACACATGTATTTTAAAAACAATAGTGGGCTATATATTACCAACACCTGTTTCACCTGTTCATCTCATTCACTGGATGGACTTTTTTCAGTGCCTGTTGTGAGTGTCTCCTGGGGTGCCCAGGTCCTCTCCACCAGTCAGCACTGAGCTCTCTCTGTCCGGTTCTTCTTAGGGGAGGCCTTGGGAGCCATTGGTGACCCAGAAGTTCTGGAGATCCTGAAGCAGCACTCCACCGACCCGGTCGTTGAGGTAACTTGGCTTGGCCCTCCCCCTCCCTGCGTTTGCCTGGACCACCCTAGACCCTGGGTCTGTTTGCCATGGCTACTGCTTGGCCAGGGATTCTGGAGAGAGGTGGCAGTCAGGATGAGTGCGGGCTGCAGCCCTATTGGGCGAAACTGAGTGCTTCATTTCCATCGAAGGCCACCCTGCTCAGCCAGCCTGTCCCGGGCCCTGAGCCACTGAAGAGCTGTCTTCACCTTTCCGGTGCCTCCAGCATCTGTCCCTCTCGTGGCCTGTTGTCTCCCTTAGGATAAAAGCCCAAGTCCTCACTGGTGCCCACAGGCCCTAAATAGTCTCTTCTGACCACTTGTACTCAGGTCCCCTCTGTGGCCAGCTCCCCTTCAGCTCCGCCCTGCCCCGCCCCCCCCAGCAGGTTCAGCAGGCCCTACCTCAGGGCCTTTGCATTGACCAGTTCCACCTGACTCCATCTCTCATTGGTTCTGATGTCACCTCCACATTGAACTGCTCCCTGGCCTTCTGTCTCTTTTATCCCTTTCCAGTTATCCCCAGAGGATGGAGAAGGGGACTGGTCAAACCCACCACCATGTCCTCAGTGGTCACCTGTCACCCCTTTCTCTTCAGGTGGCTGAGACGTGCCAGCTGGCTGTCTGTCGGCTGGAGTGGCTGCAGCAGCACAGCGGGGAGCCAGCGGCAGCAGGGCCCTACCTCTCGGTGGACCCTGCCCCGCCAGCCAAGGAACGTGACGTGGGTCGGCTACGGGAAGCACTGCTGGATGAGGCCCGGCCGCTCTTTGACCGGTACCGGGCCATGTTTGCCCTGCGAGATGCCGGTGGTGAGGAGGCCGCCCTGGCACTGGCCGAGGGTAAGGAGGGGCCCCTGGGTGAGGCCTAGTGGCTTCATCTGTGACATAGAGCAACTTGTCCGAGGGGACTTGCACCTCGGGCTTGGCCCTCAGCACTTCCCCGTGGTTTTACACAAATTAACTCTTACTCAGAGGTGGTGAGCACTCTCATCACCCCCATTATCCATGGAGTTTACTCAGGCCCAAAGAGGCAAGGAGACTTGGGTGAGGTCACACAGCCAGTAGCAGAGTTGGGATTTGACCCTCAGCAGCCTGGCTCCAGCATCCTTAACCTTTTCCTGTTATTATTACTTATCTCTGTGCTTTGGGTGCCCAGCCCAGTATCCCCGCATGTCCTCATCTGCCTCGATGGTACCGCCCAGCCAGTGATTCCTCTGTCCCCCCTACTCCCTCCCACAGGCCTGAACTGTGGCAGTGCCCTCTTTCGCCATGAGATCGGCTATGTTCTGGGCCAACTGCAGCACGAGGCGGCTGTGCCCCAGCTGGCGGCAGCCCTGGCTCAGCAGACTGAGAGCCCCATGGTGCGACATGAGTGTGCTGAGGCCTTGGGAGCCATTGCCCGGCCCACCTGCCTGGATGCCCTTCGGGCCCACGTGGCGGACCCTGAGCGCGTGGTGCGGGAGAGCTGTGAGGTGGCCCTGGACATGTATGAGTATGAGATGGGGCCGGCCTTCCAGTATGCTGATGGACTGGAGCGGCTGCACTCCCACGCCTCCTAGAGCTACTGCCGGACTGGCTGGTGTCTCTTCCCTGCAGGACCTGGGCATGTAAAGTGAATCTGTATGAATTGGATCTGGCTTCCTTGGCTCCCTGAGCCTGTTTGCTTGGCCGGATCCCAGCCACTTTCAAATCTTGAGTAACCACCCCTGCCAGCCAGACTACCTCCTACCTTGGGGCCTAGCTCAGGACTTCGGTTTGCCCAGCAGGATGTCAGTGTGGGAGGGTTGACCTGGGGGCAGGGCAGGGGTGGGGCTGTGTTCTGGGGAGGTTAAGTGGCCGAGCTCCTTCAGGAGTGGGGGGTGCAGGGAAAGGCACTGTGGGGAAACCTGTGCCCAGGGGGCCTGGGCAGGGTCTGGGTCTCTAACTCCCCGCCCTGGTCCTGGGTGGGTTGGGCTGGGGACTGGGACAAACAGGCCTTAGGTCTCTGCTCAAGTGGAATATTAAATTATTTTTTTGCCTTGTCTGGGTTGGCTCATTTGGTTTGAGTATCATCCGGTGCACCAAAAGGTTGCAGGTTCAAATTCCCTGTCAGGGCACATTCCTAGGTTTCGGGTTTGCCCCCTGATTGGGGCATGTACAGGAGACAGTTGTACAGGAGGCAACCAGTAGGTCCATGTTTCTCTCCCTCCCCTTTTCCTCTCTCTCTCAAATAAACATAATCTCTGGTGAGGATTAAACAACTTTTGCCAAGTAATGACTGTTGTAGGGGCTGTAGGGGTTCGGTTGGCTACTCTCAAGGAGCAGCTCGGTGTGTGGGCAGTGGGGTGCAGGGCATTTGGAAAGCCCGGCTCTGCAACCTGCCCCATGCCAGACGGCACGTGGCCAGTGCAGGTCTGTGCCTCCACTTCCCCAGCAGAATATCTGCCCCCTCGGCCCCCTTCGAGAGGGCCAGGGGAAACCCCTCCCCAGCTTACCCACCCCAGACCCTCGTCCCAGCCTCCCATCCATCCCGCCCTTCCAGGTGCAACCTCAGCCTACTTACTGTTCTCTGCGGGCCAGCAACAGCCCCCCTGTGAGTGGTGGAGACTCCTGGAGGGCCCGGGCCCCAGGAGGTGTGGTTCTGGGGCAAGACTGACGTTTTTCCTCAAGGATCTCTGAATTTCCTCAAGGATCCCACTACTCGTCCAACCCCAAATGCATGGGTTTTCCACAACAGGCGGTTTTCCATTCCTCTGGACGCCAGGAGGAATTTGTTTGTCCTGCAATTTGGTCCTAACACGAGTCGGAGTTAGCACAGACCCCGCAGGTTCCGGGTACGGCACTGCTCCCACTCTAAACAGGTTCCACTTCTGGGGCTCCTGTGCTTTAGACCCACCAGGGTTCCCACCAGCCCCTCACACTGGAGGCCTCGCTAGAACAGCTCACAGAACTCAGGAAAGGACTCGACTTGCCCATTCATTGCAAAGGTCCCAGAGGAAGAAGAGACAGAGCTAGGTCCAGAAGGGTCCTGAGCGCCACAGCTTCTGTCCCTGTGGAACTGAGGTGTGCCACCCTCCTGGCACATAGAAGCTCCCTGAGTCCCTTCCTTTCGGGTTTTTAAGGAGGGGCCTCTCTACCTGAGGCACCTTGATGAAATCATTGCTGGTGGCTGCAGGCAGGGCTGAGGGTGGGGCTAAAGGTTTCCTCTCACCTGTGGTCGGCTTTCGGGTCTCAGCTCCACCCTCGTTAGCCTGGCTCAGGTACAGTGGGAGGGGTCAATTAAGAAGCACCAAGGGGCCCTCTCACGCTCATCACTCAATGCCGAACCTGGATGTGGACGAAGACCAAGTAGAAGTTTCTTATTGCGGCATCACGGGCACCCCTTCTTCCTGGGATCTCTTCAGGGGCCCCGTATTTGCCCTGATTCCCTCCCCAACTCTGGACTCCTCAGTCCCCCCCCACCTCAGGCTTTTCATGGCCCAGGGCTTGGTGGCTGGGTCCTGGGAACCCTTCCCATCCTGGCAGCATGCTCTGGGCCTGCTTCCCTCTGGGCCCGCATCCCTCAGGGCGGCCGGGGCCACTGTCTGTAGGGGATCTAACCTCGTTTGTGCTGAGTCCTGTTTACAGCCTGGAGTTTTCCAGCTCCAGCCTGTTTCCAGCCTGAGCTCCACACTCGAGGTCCAGCTGCCCTTCCACATCTCCACTTCGATACCGATGAGGCACCGCTAACCCAGTGTGTCCCTGTCTTTCCTCGTAGTACTTCTGAAGTTGTTCCTCCCACAGGAAATAGAAACTCCATCATTCTAGGTTCTCAGCTTAAAAACATGCAGGTGTGACCAGTTTAAGACCTATCCCAAATCCACCCTCTTCCTCCTCTCCTCTACCTCCCCCCAGGTCCAGCCCCATCATGACCCACCCGGATGGACCAAGCTCAGTTCCCTCAGCCCTGGTCCCCACAGTTTAGCCTCTCCACATCAGCCACCAGAGGGCGCCACTGAGCACTTGAATCAGATCCCTTCTCTGTCCACAGTCCTCCAGGGCTCCCACCTTCCTCCTGGGAAGAGCCCAAGTCCCCTGGAGGTCCCCAAGGCCCTACACCACCTGCCCCTCCCCTCCCTGCCCTCATCTCCGCCCTCTCCCCCTTGCTCACTCTGCTCCAACCACAAGGGCCTCCTCCCTGTTCCTCCAACATGCAGGCACAGACCAGCCTTGGGATTTTCACACAGGCTGTTCTATGCCTGAAACACTCTTCCCCCTGGTTCCATGGTACCCCCTGGTTCCCCCTGGCACTTCCATAGCTGGTTCCATTCCTCTTTTGGATCTCTGCTCAAATGCCATCTCAGTGTGGCCTTGGCAACCTTATTTAAACTTTAACTCCCCTCCTAGCAGTACTGGCCCCTTGGATCATTGTCTGCCCCTCCCCCACCCCATCTCTAAGGTTATGTTTTCCTCAGCCCATTTTCCCACTTTGAATGTTTCCTTGAGGAGGGCAGGATTTTCCCAGGAGAGGGAACAGCCCATGCAAAGGCCCTGAGGTGGAGATGTACAGGGCAGCAGCAGCAGGTGTGGCTGGAGGCCAGTGAGGGAGGGGGCAGCAGGCGGAAGTGATTTTCGCTGTGATTCATCCAGGCAGATGGTGGCTGTAGGGAAGCCCCAATCTTCTTACCCAAAGCCCCTTAATACTTCCGCTGCACAGGTCACCTCTGGGCCTCTCCTGCTCCAGGTGGCTGCCATGCCGGCACTGGTGGATGAGGAGGGGGCGGAGAGCTGGAGCCAGGCCCCACCGCTGTATGAGGAGTATCGCCCACCGCCGCTGGATGCCATCCGCCTGCCCAGGTATGTGCTGTACCTGCTGCTGGCTGCGCTCCTGGTGGTGGTTGTGGCCTACGCCATTGTTGGGCATCTCATCAAGGACCTCGCCCACGACCTGGCCGGTGAGCCCCAACCCACCATGAGCCTGGCTTAGGCTAGTGCTGGCCACTGGGGGAAGGGGTCCAAGGGTCCCTCCCAGCCAGGGAGGGTAGGAGGGTGGACAGGGGACTTGGGGAGGCTAAGGGTCTCTATAGGTTCAGGGCAGGGGGTCGGAGGTGGGCAGGGTCTGGGGAGGCTCCTCACCCGCCTCCTGCCACAGACTGGGCCTTTGGCCCAAAGCCAGACCAGGAGGACGCCCCCCGGGAGCTGCGCCCAAGCCTGGAGGGCGAGGATCTGGAGGAGCTAGACCTGCAGCTGGCCCTGGCCTGGCAAGGTGATGAGGACACTGGCAGGCATGGCGAGGGGGCCCCTGCTGTAGCCCCTGCCCCCCACCGCCCCTCCATCGCTTTCAAGGAACCACCCATTCAAAGCTCCTTCTGGAGGCTGAGCTGAGCCAGATGCCAGTCCTTGTGGTGTGGTACAGATTGGACTTGTGCTCGCCGGAGCCCTTCCCCACTGGCCTGCCCTGTCTGCAGAGACCCTTCTTCTTGGCCGGCAGGCTCTGGGGGCTGGACGCTGACCGTTCCTGCACTCCTGCTCCCCCGCCTCCCCCAGAACTTAATTCTACCCAGCCTCTGCCAAGCTGCTGGTGATCTGTAAATCGAGAAAGCAAAGGAGATTTTTAAAATAATAATAATGGTAGCCAGCCCTTACCTAGTGCTTCGTATGTGCCTGCTATTGTGCTAAGCCCTTTCCATGTATTATCTCATTTAATCCTGAGTGGGACTTCGTGTCTCCATTTAACAGATGGAGAAAGAGAGGCACGCAGCCCAGAAATGACCTGGCCAGGGTTCTTCTCCCACTTGCTCTGCTGGGCTCCCCTACCTCCGAATCTTGTCCTCCTGCACCCCTCACCCCACACCTCATTCCCGGCTCTGCTGCTCTGCTGTCGGACCTGTCTCTGGGGGTCCTAACTTCCCAATTCACCTGAGAACTCCGGGGGGACAGTGCCTGGGGCTTCCTTCCCTTCCAAACTTTGCACAGGACAGGACGCACAGTAGGAGCTTCATATATGCCTGCTGGCTGGATGAAGTGGGCCTGTTCTAGGGTTGGGGTGTCTGAGCAATGTCACATGAGTGACTCATCTGCACGGTGGTTTTATTCAGCCCACAAGAAAGGAAGAGGCTCCAGGTATACAGTAGGTACTCCATAAATGCATGTGCAATGATGCTGGCATTCTCCAGCCCCCCAGGGGCCCATGAATGTCTCACAGAGCCTTGAAAGTGTGAGGCCCCCATCCCCCTGGCCTTCCTGCCACGTGCCTGGGCTGTGGCTGTTCCGTGGCAGCCAGGGTGGGGTCCTCCTTCAGCCAGGCAGGGCTCTGTATCTGATCAACCCAGGGACCAAGGTTGATGGGCAGGAGAGCCCTGAGCCTGAGTCATCAGCTGCCAGGGGTGCCCTATTCTCTGGTCACGTGGGAGTGGCTGGGTTTGGTGGTGGCTGGTGGGCACGTGCTTATCCCGTCCAGTCCAGATACTCACCCCATCAGTGCCTGTGGGTCCCCAGGGGTCAGGGGGCCAGGATGTGGCAGCATAAGCCAGGGGTGAAGGTGACCCGAGGTCACATGCCAACTCTGGCTGTTTCTGCACAACCTCGGAGCTCCCGGGCTCCCTGAGCTGCCATGAAACGGAGGCGGCCAACTCGTGGGGTGTCAGGGAGGAGACAACGTGACACATACGAGTGCAGAGCCCCGGCCCAGGAGGGGAGGTCAGGGCCGTCTCTGTCTGACCCCTGAGGCAGGGAGCCTGCGTGACCTCAGGGTTGGCAGTCCTGGGCGGGCATAGGGCACAGGTGCCAGCTTCTCCGGGTTAATTGTTACACCAGGTCCAGAGTCTGCCCCCTTGGGGGCGGGGGGGGGATGCCAGCCAGGTGGGGTGAAGGGAGGGCCCCTGCCCCGGACCCACCTGTGCCTTATCAGGGGCTGGGCAGGGCCTCGCCCAGCCAGAGAGGGCTGTGCTCACCTGGACGGCACACTCCGGCTGCCAGCTCCTCCACGACCATGGAGACCCTGAAGACCCTTCTCGTGCTCAGCGCCCTGTTCTTCTTGCCCGCTGAAGCCCAGGGTAGGGGTCCCACCCTGGCGGGTGGTGTGGGGAGGGGTCATGGGGATGAGCTCACCGCATCCCCTGAGAAGAGGGGACAGGCAGAAGAGGCAAGGGGCCAGGCCACGCTTGGAGCCCCTCCCGAGGCTGAGTCCCTTTCTCTCAGACCCATCTCTGATACCCAGTCCCTTTCCAAGACCTGGTGTGTCTAAGCAACCCTGGCTCCCTTCTCCTGCTCACCTTTGGTGGGGGCCTCACCCTCGCCCATCTCTGAGTCCCACCTCCCTACCTTCCAACGGCCACAGGACGTCGCCTGAAGCCGTGGCTGATAGGCCTGGCTGCCGTCGTGGGGTTCCTGTTCATCGTCTTCGTCCTCTTGCTGGTCAACCATGTCTGGTGCTCCAAAAGGAGGTGGGAACCCCCAACGCCGCCTGTCCCTTCGCCCTTATCCCTCCCCTCCTTCTTCCCCAGAGTGCTGGCCACCTCCTCCCACTTCTTGACCCTCTGCAGTTCCTTTCCCCTTCTCCCCGTGTCCCTGCTTAGGCCCCCACCCACAGACCAGGATAGCCTCGCCGCCCACCCCTCCCTGCTTCCTGGAGTTCACGATCCCTAACCCTGGGGAGACTGGCGCTCGGCTATCTGCACTTCCCGTCCTTCGCCCGCCCTCACCCCTCCTGTCTCCATCTCTCCTGCAGAGATGTGGAGGAGGAGGCCATGTTTGGAATGGAGCGCCGTGCGGTCCAGGACACAGGCCTGAGGTACTGCCTGTGAGTGTACATTGGTGTGTGAGTGTGCTTCGGGGTCTGTGCGAGCCCCTTCCTGGGGGAAATAGGTGTACACAAATGACCGCTTTCTATCCTTGAACACTTCAAGCATTTTCCTACCCCAGGGCCTTTGCACTTATTGTGGGCTCTGACTGGAACCCTTTCCCCATATCTTCTGGCTGGCTCCTTCTCCTTCAGTCCCTGCTCAGATGTTTTCTCCTCACAGAAGCCCCTCCTGACCCCTACCCAGCCCATTGTGCCACAGCCATAAGGTCAGGACTAGGGGGTAAAGGCTTGGGGACAGGAGCGTAGGAGCTGGGAGGAGGCCAGCCTGGCTGAAAGACTCTCAGCTGAGCCCAAGATGTGCCACCCACCCACCCATCCACCTGCTCCTCCGTGGGACAACCAAGCTTTTGTTCCTGCCTTTGTGAAGTGGAAACAACAATGTTGCCTCATTGGGGTTGTTTTGAGGACTCGGTGAAGGTGCTTTCTGTAAAACACTCATCACGAGGCCTGGCCAAAGTAAGTGTCCCTTGCATGGGAGCAACTGTGTTTCTTACTGTGACCTGGGGCCTTTGTGTTTCTACAGAAGAGAAAGCAAGAAAGAGAAGACAGAGGAGGAGAAAGAGAAGAAAAGAGCCATGAAAGAAGGAGAGAGCAACGTGGGGCTGGAACTGGAAGAGAAAGAGGAGCCCGGAGACCAGGAGAAAGCCAAGGGCACGTGCATGTGAAGACTGTCTGCTCACCTCCTCCAGGCAGACCCCCAGAGATGCCCCTTCCACACTGTATGACCAATGACCTGGGCCTGAAACCACCGAAATAACTCCATGTGGCTTGTAAACATAGCGCCCGAACAAAGAGGCCCGGACCTGCCTTCCCCTCCAGGAGGGCTCTTTGCATCTTACGTGGTCTCTATGTACCCCTCCCGACTGGCCCTGCTTGGTGATTCTTCCTGCACTTGGTTATGAAGACACCCCCAAGCCCCCACAATCTCAAGGCTCCCCCTGCTTCTACCCAGCGTCTGGTTCTTTCCCCTCTGCCTGGTATCTCTTGGTCAGAATCTCTCTCAGAACCATTATGGGCCATGGGCTGTCTCTTGGGGACCTGCATTAAAAAACCGATCAGAGCCCTTCAGAAGGGCTCCTGTCGTGTCCTGGGACTGTTTTCTCTGGGAGAGTCAGCTTTCGGTTTGGGGGCGACGCCCGGGTACCTAGGGAAGCTTGGGCGCACAGGTGCCCGGACGGTCAGCGCTTCGCCTGCAGTCTGCATCTGGCTGCCCGAGGCCTGGACTTTGAGCCCCCAGGGGTGTCTCTCGGGCAGTGCTCGTTTCCTCCTCCCCCGTGTTTTGGGTCACATAACTTTGTAACTCAGTTTCTGAGAACTGGGTCTTGGAGGGGGCCCAGGACCCTGTCTTTTCTAGGGATGGAACAGCGTTTTCTCCTCGTAGTTTCCAGTCTTCCCTTCTCACTTTCTCTGGGCCCTGGACCAGCCTGGGATGTTAACTATTTCTTCATGGTTAGATAATCCTAATGAGGACTTTGACAAAGTATGGCATTTGGATCTTTGTTTTGGGGCCTGTACCCTGGGGGTGGTAGGACCACCCAAAAGGTTTCTAAGAAAACTTCCAGACTGCCCGCCAGGTGGGCAGGAAAACTGTAAATGAAGGAACGAAATAAACGCCCTAATAGGTGCTCCTACTGAACACCTGGCATCTTAATCCTCTTCGTCTCCATTGTACCTAATTAGCTCATTTTCTAGTTGAAAGTACTGAGGTTTTAAAAGCAGAAGGCACTGGGGCAGGTGTCCCTGGCTGTTGTTGACAGAGCTCCCCAAATATGGGAGTGTTTGCAAGCTGTGGCTAAGGTTAGATTTGGGGGTTCGTGTCCCAGGATGGTGGTGGTGGGGTTTGGGGTGGGGGGTGTTCTTTCTTTGCCCTGTTTCCTACCTGGGAGAACTTTCTCTGCAGTGCTGTGTGGCCCAGGGGAGGTGGCCTGACCTCTCTGAGTCTCAAGTCGACTCCCCTGCAATGCGAAGGCAGGAGTTCTGACCTTCAGAGTCTGAGGCTTGAAGGAGACACCGGGGCTTAAGGGCCATTGCAAGGCCTGGCACGTAGTAGGTTCTCAAAAAATGAGTTCCCCACCTTTCCTGAGCCTCCCCCTCTCATGGCTCTGGCTGTGGGGAATGAGGGGGTCAGGGTGAACTTAAGGGAGATAGGGTGCTCGGATGCTTGGGACCCTGGTCCCCTCCCCAGGGAGCCCAGAACCCAGGAAGGGGGCACCACCTCCCACTTTCTGTGGCACTGGCCACACCCTGCCCTGGGGTGCCCTGGGCAGCCCACTTCCTCCTCCAGCCAGGGCTGCACCCCAGAACCTGCTGGACAGAGGCAAGAAGAGACCAGATGGACAGATTCTGGACGACCCCCAGCAAACTCTTCCAGCGGCTTTGGTCCCACTGCAGGTTCAGGCCCAACCCTGCGAGGCCTTGGGGAGCAGGAAAGAAAAGAAAGAAGGGTAGGCCCCTAACCTGGTGGTCAGGCTGCTGACCCTGCGCCGACCCTGCCCACAGGGGCCCAGAGGAAGCCGTAGCTGGTGGGGCTGGGAGCCACGTTGGCCTTTTCTTCCTCATCTCATCCTCACTGCGGTCATTTGGTGCAGGGAGTCTCATGACAGGTGGGCCCCATCCTCTCCTGGCTCCGCCCTCCCTAGCCCTCTCCCCTCTGAGCCCCACCCCTCTCGAAGCCTCTCTCCTTTCAGTCTCCTCTGAGGATGCGGGAAGGGGTTCCCAGGGGAATTCTCTGATTCAGAATCCGTGGAGGCCTCATATAACCTGACTTCCCTCCTGACTAGCTACCTGCCAAATGAGGTGGCTTCCTCACCGAGAACCCCACCCCTTTATGCACGTCCAATGGGATCTGCAGCCTGTCATCACCTTCCCTCTTACCACATTCATTTATGCACCCACCTATTTATTCACATCCACTCATCATCTACTTATCCATCTGCTCATCCAACCCTTTCTCCTTCCAGCCGTCCATTGTCTCTCCTTCCTTCTTCCCTCCATCATCCGTTCCTCTGTGTCCACCCCTTTGTCTGCCCATCCACCCAACCATCCACTCACCATGTGCTCACCCACCCACCTTCCCACCACCTAGTCACGTGTCCATCTGCTCATCCATCCATTCATCCACTTATTTGTCACGCACCCATCATTGGTCTATCCTCCTTGTCTTTGCCCATCCACCCGCCCACTGTTTTGAGATCTAGGAAGCCAAGGGACCAGATTTGGTGCAAGCCTGAACTCTAGCACTTCCTTCCTGTTCAAACTGGGCAAATGTCCTCACCTGCCTGAGCCTCAGCATCCCCTTCTGGACAATGGAAACAAAAAGAGTTCAGGGCTCGGTCTCTGGGAGAATTGTAAGAGTCCAATAAGGACTGTAAGCCTGTATTAAATTGGGTTATCTGGGCTGCTCTTGTCTCTACAACAGTGAAGAGAAGGAAGGAGAGGAAGGGTGGCAGTTGGAGCTGGAGGAGGAAGAGGAGCCTCCAGACCGTGGAATAACGGTGAACGCTTCCTCATGAAGGCTTCTCCCACCTCCTCCACGCAGCACCCAGCGTTGCTCAAATGCCTGCTCTGCGTCCTATAAGAAAAGACCTGGTTCTGGGGCCAGGGAAATGACTCCATCAGGGTGCAGTGTTCCTTAAAGAAGAGGGCTCAGGATGTACCCCAAAGTCTTCCTAGAGGGCTCTTTGCAGTTCCCTGGGCATTACACATACCTTTCCCAAACTTGGTCTCCACCTGATAATTCTTAAGCTTGGCGGGCACCCCTGGACAAGGAGCTTGCCACATCCCCATGACCCCTGCCATCTCATACCTCTGCCCCGTCTGCATTGCAGGAATCTTTGTTACCCACCGCTTGATCTTTTCTCACCTCTGATTTCTGCTGCCCTTTGGATTTTATCAGCGAAGCCAGCTCTTCCTCCTGCCCTCCTACCTCCAAGATCTCGAGGCCCTGCTCCCATGAGTTCATAGAAACCACTTGGCTCCCAGTCCCTCCCCTGGCCCCGGTTTTCATCTCTGCCACATGCGAGCTGCCTAGGTCTACTTTTCACTGCAAAAGGGAGGGTGAAAAGGTGCTGTGCAGATGGTACTGTCTTTGCGTGACCCAGGGCAGAGCCAACCCTCCTCCTGTAATCTTGCTTTTGCTGCTTCTGAACATGAACTTTGAGCAGGCTCAGCACAGGAACTGTTTCCTGGGAGATGAGGCCGCTCCCACCATATGCCCTGTCCTGGAAGCTGTGACACCCAGGAGCTGGGGTTGGAGACTGCACATCACCGTCACCCACTCCTCCTGTCCGGCACTCCTGGTTCCACAGAGAGACTTGGAGCCCCAACTTTCTGGTTGTGTAACCCCAGGCCAGTAACTTCATGTCCCTGTGCTGAAGTGTCCTGCTCTGTGAGAGGGCAGGAAAGTATCTGGATCCTTCCTGAGCTTTCATGGGGATTCAATGAAATAATGCCTACAGAACTCCTGAGCACTGAGCCCAGAACCTAAAAGGCACCTCACAGATGTCAGCTTCTCCTTCCGCTGACATGGTGACGACAGGGCAGGGCAAGTGAGACTTCCCACTCGGACCAGGGGGCGTGCTGCAGGTCAGGGCTGCGTTTCCTCACTGCAGCCTGGACGTGCAGAAGTTTTCTGCTTCAGTCTCCTCTGTGCACAGGCTGGGGGTTCACAGTGGGTGGGGTGCTGGGGAGGGAGGGGAGGGAGAAAGGAGGGGCTGTCTGAAGGTTGCAGAACTAGGGGGCATCTACCAATTGGCGGGATCGTTTTGGGGGGGTTTTCACAAGTCTGCCTCCCTTTTATAGCGTTTAGTGGGGACCCGGGGGTGGTAAACGGTCTGCAGTGCTGGGACAGTCCCCCAAAGCCAGTAACTGCTTCATCCTATGGGCCAACGGCTGAAGAACAGAGGCTTCTCTTGAAAAGACCAGACTGAGTCCCCAGTCTTCCTGGGCCCTTCAACTCAACTGAGCCCCCTCCACTGAAACCCCCACCCAAGCTGACTCCCTACCCTCTACTGAGGCCCTGATCCTATATGTGCCCCGCACAGAAGAATCTCCTGCTAGTGCCCCCATTTCCTGCTGCAGGGAGGGGCCAGAGAGTGGGGATAGGGACAGAGGTGGGTAAGGGTCCCTGTTGACCGCTGCGCCCAGAACCTGGTTTCTGGGTCCAGGTCCACAGTCTTCCCACAAGGGGGCGCCAGAACCTCACTGCTGAAGGCAGAAGCAGCCTCCCTTCCTTGGACTGGAGAGGGTTGGAGCTGTCAGAAGCACAGCTGGGAAGGGCCAGAACCCAGAGCTCACTCAAACCCACCATCTAAAAAGCAGGTCTCTTCCCCTCAGCACTGCCACATTTGGAATTGGATCCTCCCTGCGGGGGGCCATCCTGGGCACGGGGTGGGGGGTGTTGAGCAGAAGCCTGGCCTCTACCCATTCAATGCCAATAGCTTCCCCCAGTCATGACCGCAGACATTGCAAAAAGTCCCCTGGGGACATCTGATGTCAGGTTCTCAGGACGCCTGCCGGCTCATCCAAAGTGTTGGGGTCCTTGCTTCTACTGGCCACCTTCCCCTCTTCCAGCCTCTTCCCTTCACTTTGATACAACACGGAACAGTCTGCACTGAACACAGAAAGGACCCAAGACAGCCAGAAAGAGTCGAAGCGTAGCTTGTTTAATTTTTATACATTTTTCTTTTTTATTTTTTGCCTTTTATTGAATCTTTTATGGAATCCCCCTTTTTCTTTTTCTTTTTTTGCATAGGGAAACAAACAAACAAAATGATAATAGCCAGAGTCACTTTCTGTAAATGGTACTTAGGCGCGTCTGCAAAAACCGAAATGACTGCATAATATACAAGGTTATGATTGGAGTATGATGTGAGGGAGCAGGGCGGGTGAGCCAGGAGAGGGGGCAGGCTGGGCCCAGGTCTGCCCAGATGTCCCCGTGTCCCCCATCCGGTCCCCACACTGGGGAGGAGGAGGAGCAGACCCAGCCAGAGCCTCTCCTGACCTGGGTTCATGAGCACGGGTGTGTGGGTGTGTTACCCGGTGTGTGCGGCAAGCAGAAAGCAAGAAACAGAGTAAACTATCCTGGTAATATCAGTAAAATATAAAATGAGAAAAAAAACCTCAAAAATATCTTGGAGGAAAAAGAAAATGAACAGCAACACCACCAAAAACTTTAGGGAAGGAAGAGAGGGGGGGGGGAAATCAGAGGAAAAGGGGTCTCTTCCCCTCCTTCCTGTCGGCCCCTGCCATGCTGTGGGCTCTGTCCCTTGATCTACCCTCTGCTTGTCCTTTCCCCATGTGGGGTCCTGGGGGTGGGAGGGTGGGAAGTGGGAGGCAGGGGCCAGGACCCCTGAACTTGAAGGGGCTTTGGTTTGGGGGGGCCTGGCTGGGACCCTAGATAGGAGGATCAACAAATAAAAGTGCTGATACAGCTTGGGGATGGGCTTTGGGGTCCCCAACCATGGGGCTGCGGGGGAGGCTCCTGTCCCCTTTCAGGTGGGTCCCCTTCTAGCCAGGAGGTGTGAATGGAGGGCTGTGGGGAGGGGCAGCAGCTTGGGGGTGTGACTTCCTTCCCCTCCTGGAGCCTTCTTCCTGTTAGATCCTGCCTCCTCTTTCCCGAGGCCTGGCTTCCCCCACTACCCCTGGGGAGCTGGGGAGAACCCCAAAGCCACACCAGCAGACATGTGAGGCACTGCTTGGGAAAAGTCTGTTTTGGTATCACTGGCAACAAGTCCTGCTGGTATCGCTTTGGGTCTGTCTCCTTGCCTTGCTGGGGGCAAGGGTCGGGCCTCTGGGGTCAGTTCAGGCCCCACACACTGTGAAACACTTAGGAACGGGTGGATGGTGGGGGAGGCTGTCAGCTTGCAGGTGGGACTCTTTAGAAAGTGCCCAGTGGCGCAGAAATGGAGATGGGAGGATGTGGAAGAAGCCAGATCTGAGGGTGGATCTCTGGAATCCCTTTCCCAACACCCTCCAGAAAGAAAGTAAAAACCAGAGTCTCAGAGACAGATTCCAGGCCAAAACAAAAAGTAGCCACTGTATAATCTGTATAATAAAAAATTCATATATATATATCCATATCCCTCCACTGAAGGTCAAAGTACCATGGGAGAGGCCAGAACAAGGAGGGGAGGGTCCTGTGCGCTGCCTTCTCTGAAGCGGGCAGGACGGCTGCGCACGGCCTGGGGTCCTACACGGGGGCTACTGTCTGGCCAGGTCTGCCTGCCCCTGGGACGCTGCTGTCTCTGGGGACAGACAGAAGGCTCTGGAGCAGAAAAGGGATCTGCAGGGCTGAGCCTGGAATTGTCTGCTGCTTGGGGAGCTATGGCACCCCCGAGTCTCCTTTGGGGCTCCTTTCGAGTCTGATTGTCTAGCTCAGGGTGGGACTCAGAACTCAGCCAGAACCTGGGTTCCAGACCAGCGCCAGGGCCCCGAGCCCTGTCCCCAGTCAGACAGGCCAGGTCTTCTCACACCTCCCTCGCCACCCTGGTGGGTGTCTGGTGCCCTCAACCGAGAGCGGGATGGGGGCAGTCTGCTTATATTTGGGAGGCCCCCCTGTTCTTTTCTACAGCATGAGCTGGACCCCAAGGGCAGGCTGAGGGGTCAGCATGGGTGGGGATGGATGATGGGTGGTGAGTGACATGGGCTTGGGAGGGGCCTGAGAAGACCTCAGTTTCATATATGTAAGAAAAACACCCTACAAAAACCAACCCAACAAAGGCCCCTATTCCCGGACCTTGGCACGGATCCGAACTGCTGAGTGGGGTCAGGGGTCTGGTTCCTGGCGTTCCTGCCTTACTCTGCCTGCAGGGCGGCGCCTGGGAATGCTGCCCCACAGGGACCCTACAGCTTTCCCAAGAAATGGGGACAAACAGCCCCAGGATGACGCGCTGGCTGGGGAGGAACTGCCCACAGGACCCAGCAATGGTGCCAAAAGGGCGAGATCACACAACAGGGGACAGGAAGGGTGGGCTGGGCAGGGCACAGAGCACAAAAAGCAGAAATCAGCCACATGAAAACGGACACATGTGGCCTCGGGCTCTCCAGCCAAGTGACGGGTCTGAAGGACACTGTCACGGCAGCCGAGGCCGAGCTCTGGGCTTCCCCTCCAGCCCCTGGGGCTTGCCGAGGCGTCTTGGGCAGAAAACGTGGGATGAGCGTATGATGGCTGATGAAAGCTGGGACCTTTCTACAGAGTCCCACCCTGCTCTGGAGACAGTTGTGAAGTCCAAGGGGGTGGCAGCAAATAAATGGGGACCACTGTCCAACTGGTGTGCCCCCCAGGTTGGGGCCTGAGGGCAGAGAGTCCAGCCCTCTGGTCCCCCCCCGGGCCACCCCCACTAACCACCTGCTATTCTCTCACCTGTGGTTGAGTTGAAGGTTGAGGAAGTTGGAACTTAAAGAAAGAAAAATAAGAGAAAATAAAAAACAAGAAAAAGACAACAGCATGGCCAGCCACCCAGGCAGAGACCTGTGATGGGGTGTTCCCGGCTGTCCCTGACCCCTCCGGCCACCCTAACTGGGCCTCTGCTGGCTGGGCTAGGCCTACAGGTACAGACAGACAGGCATTGCATATATCGAGTTTGGTTTTGTTTTTTGTTTCATACCAGATACCCTCCGTAGTCACAGCTGGAAGACACAGAAGTGGGTGCTGGGGGTTAAGGAGAGCGCAGGAGGGAACGGACACCCGATGCCGGTCTCCGGGGGGGGGACAAGTGGGTCCTTTGGCAAGAAGGAGGGGGTGCACTGGGGAAGAGGGAGCCTCTTTGGGGTGGGAGAGCAATCTGACCCTGAGCCAGAGGGATGCCAGCCTGCATGGAAGGCGGGATGGGGGGTCTGGCTGTCGGCAGGGCGGCCACCCTGAGGGCGCTGCCTGGGGTCGCGCATGCACGAGTGGCATGGGGGGGGGGCTGGCGGCCCAAAGGCCTGCTCCTGAGGTCTGCCTGCTGCTGTGGGTGGGGGCTTCAGAAATGACCCCTTGGAGCCCAGGGGCCGGGCCGGGGGTGGCAGAGCACCAGGGAGCACCCCCAACGCAGCAGGGGCCGTGGAGACAGAGCCCAGGGCTGGTGGGGCGTGGGCGGTGGGACCGATCACGGGGCGATTGCTCTTTTAGCATGTATTTTTTTCAAAGTTCTTGCTTATCATCATCATTATTATTATTATTATTATTATTATTTTTACAAATAGAAATACATCCCTTTTCCATTTTTACTTTTTATTTCATTTCATTGTTTGTCTTTTTCTTTTTAACTACACGAGCAGGGCATGCAGCTACCTTCGCGCTGATATTGTTTAAAGGTAATACTTATTCTCGGAAGGCAAGGCACATCATGTGGTAAAAAACTTCGTGCAAATTAGGAAACATGGACTTTTTTCAAGGTATTTTTTTGTATTTTTTTTTAAAGAGGAGGGGGCAGGAGTGGGGGCTGGGAGGCTGGGGCGGGAGATAGAGCCGGTAAGATTTGCCATGCAGTGTCAGCTCCAGCGAGCCGAGGGCAGGAGCCAGGTCATAGGAGTCCTCGACTAAGCACCATGCAAAGTTAGATCTCGGGGGGCTGCCAGGCGCCCCCTCCCCTACCACGCCTACCTGCACCCTGAGGGTCCGGGCTGAGAAGCTTCCGGATGCCCGAGCTGCCCTTCCTCCCTGCCCTCCCGAAGAGCGGCCCGTGCTTTGGTCCCCAGCGGCCACCTGGAGGGGCCCTGGGGATTCATGGACAGACCAAGGGTTCTTGAACCCCTGCGGACAATGGGAGGGGGTGTTGATGGGGAAGGGCCTTGGGTCTTTCTCTGTGTGATAAGTGGGTTCGCCAAGCCCCTTGGGCTGGTTTGAGAGGAAAGTCTGGTTTCTAGAAGTGTTGGGGTGGGGGGAGGCTGGCCAGGCCCAGGGGTACCAAGAGAAGAAGCAGAGGGCCAGGCTGCAGATGAGGCGGAGGCCCTGCTCAGGGCAATAGCTTTGGCCTAGGCCCGGGGTAGGGGTCATGGTGGGGTACATATTCCTCAGCGCCAGGCGTGGAGGCTGGAGGTGGCCAGTGGGGGCTCAGATGGATGGGCTTGGAGGGGTCCCTGTGTTTGGGTCTTGTGACCCTGGAACACCTAGCACTCCCTCCCAGGCCCCCCACCCAAGATGGTCACCCTGGGGTGGGGGCGGGAATGGGGCTGGGGAGCCGGGGTAGGGGGGCACCCGGTGTCCCCAGCTTAGTGTTTTTGGAGCGGCTCAACGGAAAACGCTTAGCAGATGGGAGGCCCCTGTGCAGCACAGGGCCCAGAGGCGCTGGCACCCCCTCCGCCAGAACTCCCACCCCATCCAGGGTCACACGAATTGCAGTCCTTCTGGGGGCCCAGCTGCAACGCACCTCCCTGGCTGTGCCCACTTTGGGGGAAAATAAAAGTGCAAACTGTAGTCCCCCTTTGGGCTGAGAGGCACCAGGGAGGGGGTGTCGCTCCAGGATGTAAGGCACTGGCAGAGGAGGCGTGGGGGGGAGGGGACACCGGCTTCCCCGGACCTCACCCCTGCCCCCCACGCCTCAGCATGGCAGGATGCTTGGGGGACACCCAGCTCTGCCCCTTGGGCCCACTGGGGGTCCCCATCTCTCCGAGGGGAGCATAGCAATGAGGGGTCGGGGACTGGAGGTGGCAGGGTTGTGGGGGAGGGATGGGGAAGCCCACGGCCACTCTCACGTCTCAGCTGGACAAAGAGGGGCGGGCGGTGGGAATCAGGCACTTAATCCACTCACTGTCACCTCCCACCTCCTCTGGGTGAATGTGGGGGGGGGACCTCCCCTCCCAGGGCTCAGTGGATGGAGACTCCAGATGACCCCCTTTCTTGAAGACCTCTGGGTCTTTCCATTCTGCCCCCACAGCCCCTTCCTTGGAAAGTGCATTTCTTACAGTGTGTGCAACGTGGACCCCGACCCCGGGGGTGTGGAGCCGCAGGCAGGTGCAGTGGGGGGTGGCCTTCTATGCCGCTGGGCGTGGGGCTGGGGGGGCAATTGCATAGAGACTTCTCCTCCCAAACAGACAGGCGCGGGGATGAAAGGCCGAGTCCCAAGCCAGCCCAGCACATGCACGCTTTGGGGCAGGCAGACATCCCATGGCTGACGGCAGGGCACTCCTGAGAAAGAATCTGCCACGCGTCCTTGTCCCCTGGTGGTGACCAGGGGCTCCCACAACCCTCTTCTGCCCTTGTCACTTCCCTGCCCACACCGGCCTCCTCAGTGCCTGCCTTCCTGCTTGGAAACACCAACACCAGTGTGGGAAGCCTGGCCGACATCCTGGCGGTGGTGACGATGGGGGTTCGGGGGGAGAGGTGGCCTTTCTGGGTGTCCTGCCCCATGGGGCCTGGGCACTGTTGTGGGCACCAGGCTGCGCTCACCTGGTCCTGGTGGAGGTGGAGGCAGGCACCTGCCCTTCCCGAGCAGCAGCGAGAGATGAGTAACGTAGGGAGACCCCTGTGGCACTGTTAGATCCTCAGGCCCTCCGCCGGGGGCGGCAGGTCCACCGGGGGCGGCAGGTCCAGCTGTGGCGTCCCAAGAGTCTGCAGCGCTGCAGTCTTCTTTACCTTTGTCTTCTTGCTTGGGTGGGTTTATTTTTATGAATTTTTTCCCGTTTGTCTTTTTTTTTTGGCCTTTTTTTCTCTTTTTTCTTCCTCCTGTGTGTGTATGTTTGTGTGTTTTGTCTTTTCAGCTGGGCTGGGAGTCGGCGGGATGTTCTTGCTCGCTCTAACTTTCCACCGAACACATGGGCTGGGGGCCGGCTGTGCAGCACCCCCGGGATGAAGGAGCAGGGCGTGGGAAGAAATCTTTCTTATCCCAGATACCAGGACTAGCCGGCCCCAGGGGGACGCAAACAGAGAGGGAGAGAAAGGAACAGACGTCAGGCTCTGCCGCTGCCCGCGCCCACCTCCCTGTCACCGGAGAGCTCTGTCTACCCCCAACCCGGACCTGTCGTCACTTGCTGGGTGACCCTGGACAAGTAACTTCACCCCTCTGCAGGGCTGCTCGATAAAACACAGTATGCCCTGTGAAATCTGATTTCCTAGAAACCTTTCAGTGTAAGTATTTACTGAGCAACTTCCGGAATAGACTCGCTTTTAACCCTTGTTTATCTGGCATCCGAATCAACCTGAGCAACACATAGGGTTTTTTTTTTCCTTCCACTGAATTGGGCAACAAGCGCCCTGAACCTCAGTGCCCCGCGTGAGAAATGGGGGATGTGCCGTTTCGCTCTGCATCAACCTGATGCAACACTGTGGCACTGTGACCGGGGGGTGCTTCCTTTTTTTCTTACACATTCTTCCATTTAACGATTCCCCCCGACTCCTGTGAAGGGGGGACCACCCCGTTTCGCAGTGGAGAAAACTGGGGGTTACAGAAGTCAAGTAATTTCTCCAAGACCACCAGCGAGGGAAATGGAAAGCCGGAATGTACACTCAGGCCTGGAAGCCCCAGTCCTCTGCCTTCCCTCTGCCTGGGGGCGACCCCTTAGCGGCCCTGCAGCCAATCAGGACCCCCACCTTGCAAACTGGGAGATAGAGGCTTCTGGAGGGGCGGCCTGGCTGCGCTGCTACACAGACCCTTCCCCTGGAAATGCAACCTCCCTGCATGGGGTGGGCCTGGGGACAATGGCCCGTCCCTGAGGTCAGGGCAGCACTGGCCCCCACCCCTGCTGTAAATCAACAGCATCGCCTTCAACCAGACCGCTCTGCAGTGGCTGGGCCACCCCATCAAACTGGTGCTGTGGCTCCCAGCCCCCAACCTCCAACCAAGTTCAAGTTCATCTTGGCCATTACCTCATGTCTGGTTTCCCTTGGCAACCAGACAGACTCTAGGCGTGGCCCTCTTCGGTGGTGGCCGGCTCCCTTTGGCCCTTCCTCCCTCCTGCCTCCCTTCCCATGCTGGCTGCCCTGCTCTGGCCCCGTAATGAGGGTGGCACCCCCAACTCAACATCCTTCCCCTCAGCTGAGAGGGAGACCGAGGCAGTACAGTGCCAGGGGTGAGGTCTGGGCTCTGCCATCCCCCCCCGCACTGGCTGAGCCACCGGTATGGTTTTGGGCATGTGGTCGCTTAACCCCTCTGGCCCTCGGTTTACTCATATGCTGAAGGAGTGCGATGGGCTGCAGAGCGGAAAGGGTGTGGCGCAAAATGCTCGGCCAGGGGCAGCCCGTCACTCAGGAGAGGGGGTGAGGTGTCAGAGTCCCTGGAACCCCCGCTGGGAGCCAAAGCATGGCTGGCACAGGATTGGGGGGATTGATGGTGAAACACAGGGAGGGAGTGTGGGGGTATGGAGAAGGCGAGTAATTAATTGACCAGGTGGAGATCGATGGACATTGTTCAGGAGGGGGCACTGATAGAGGAGAGAATATTGATCAGGGGAAGAGGGCACTGATGGAGGCTAGGGGAGGGAATATTGATCAGAGGAGGGGATATTGATCAAGGGGTAGGGGCACTGATGGGGAAGGAAATATTGATCGGGGAGGGGACACTATGGGGTGGAAGGTAGGAGGGTGCACAGGGAGGGAGAGAAGCCTCTGCAGGCTGGGGGGTGGGGGCGGGGGCAGAGGAAAGCCAACCTGCCAGGAATAATGGAGGCAGAGGCAGAAATGCTGACAGGGCCAGAAATCAGAGGCCTCTAAGCTCTACGGCCGCTGCACAGGGGCTCCGAGATGGGGGAGCAGCGGCTCGCTCAAGGCTTCTCCCTCCTCCCTTCCCTCCTTTCCGTGGGGGAAGGGAGGCCTGACCTCACCCAGGGTGCCCTAAGTCCAGTGACCCAGGGTCCAGCCCATGCAGTGCCAGTGGGGTCCTCCCACCAGAACTGTACTCCCTGTTCGCTCAGACTGGGGGCCGTGACTTCCCCATAACCCAGGGTCCCTAAGGAGCCTCTAGTCAATTTGCCATCTCACTTCCCTGCTTCCCCCCTACCAACATCAGTCCCAGAAAACTCCAATTCCCAGACTGGCTGTGCCCCTCCCTCACTCTAAACCCTTCCATAGCTCCCCACAGCCCCCAGCCAAAGCCCATGTTTAGGGTTTTCCACATTCCAGCTATTTCTCCATTGCTTCCAGCCTTTGTCAGTGCCTGGCCAAGACGCCCTCGTCCTTCTCTGCCTGGCTGGCCTTTGCTACTGGGATCCAAATATGCCCCCCCCCCCCACGACTGAGGCAGCAACCCGAAGGCCTCTCCTTGGAGCTTCACCAGCCCTGTCCCACCCCCGTCATCCCCCTGACCAAGAGGGTGCAATGAGAAGCCTGTAGAAGCAAAGGCGCTTGTCTCGGTTTCCCTCCCGTTTTAGGCTGTCACCTGGGGTGGGCCCCTTGGGCAGAAAGTGAGGAGGGGGGTGGCTGGGGAAGGGTGAGGCAGGCAGGGCCCCTTCTCTGCTGTTTTTGTTAACTTCGGTTCTGAAGCAATCAGACGTTCCCAGCCTCCTGTGGGGAGGGGCGTGGGGCGGGGCAGGGGAGGAGAGGCCTGGCTGCAGGAGCTCTGGAGGAGGGGTATTGGCACTGCTGCAACTTAAGAGAGGGTGGCCATGGGGGGCCCAAAACTCAAAGCAGGGAGTGCTGGGATCACCCTGGCTTGCTGAGTGACCCTGATCAAGTGAGCCCTCTGTCCGGATCCCTGCCGGGGCTCTGCAGGACAGAACAGTGAACCTGCAGGTGTGTGGGGGACGGCCTTGGCCTTCTGGTGCTCTTTCTGGATGAAACTGGTCCCCTAACATCTCAGGCCCTTCAAAGGCTCCCCAGAAGGAGAGACAGGGAGGGTGAAGCAGGGCTGGGTGTGAGGAGGAGGGGGGGACAGCGCCCCCTGTGCCCTTTGAGCTATAACCAAGCCAGCCTTGGAGGGTCCCCAGGAGGCGAGGCTGCGCTGGGTGGCTCCCTGGGCCTGGTTAGCATGGCTCTGATCTCAGTGGAGAACGGAAGACGTGGCTACCTTGCCCCCACCTGTGCTCGTGGACTTAGTTGCAATAGAACCCCCCCTGACAGAGACTGGAGGGTCTGAAACTGGCAGGACTCCCCAAACCTCCACTCTCTGTGGCCTGGCGGTTTGAAGCAGCTGGGGAGCCCTGGGTGGGTTTCTCAGAGTGCCTGTGGGAGCTGGTGCTGTCCTTGGGCCACTTCACATTCTGCGACACTCTCCCTAACAGGCGCCAGTAATCGGAGGTTCCGAGGTCCAGCCACCTTTCTTGGACACTCTGCCAACACACTCCTGGCCTGCACACAGCACAGACTTGAACCCTGACCCGAGGGCTGGAGTCAGAATACATGGGAGGGGGGCTGAGGCCACTCCCCACTCCTCCAGAATCAGGGAGCCAGCCCCAGTTTTGAAGCCACCGGGACCCACCCAGCCCTGCACTGCTGTGCAACCTCAGGCAACTTGCTCCTTCTCTCTGAGCCTCCTGGTCTCGTGCTCAGCCTCCCCCACCCCAACCCCGGGCACTTGCAGCTGCAGTACTGCCAGCTCTGCCTCCACGGCCACCCTCCCCACCTTGCAGGCAGTAGCCTGAGGTAGAGGTGTGCAGGCTTCACTGGGAGGCCCCACCACCTGTCACAGGCTGCCTCAGTTTCCCACCTGTCCCTGGCTTTCTGGAGTCCTTGCCACCCCCTGCCTCCACCCCCCTGGTCCCTCTGGCCTATGACATGGAAGGGGTGAAGACGGCAGTGGGGGGGGGTTGCCAGCTCAGGCTGACGTGCTGTGTGATCCTGGGCAAATCCCTCAATCCTTCACCTCTGTGGCCTCAGTCTCCTCATCTACACCGATGGGCCTGGGATGGCGGCGGCCCAGGAGGGTCTCCCGGCAGGGAGCTGCAGGGAGCATTTGGGGCTCCAGCCATACTAGAAGCCCTGGAAGGGTATGGGAAGCTGGTCCCCCTGCCATGCCTAGTGGCCACTATGCCACAGGTACAGTGAGGGAGGGGTGGCATGGGATCCAGCAGGCTGGCCTCTCCCTGCACACCCAGGCTGGCCCTTCTGCCCTGGCCCTCCCTCCCCGCCACCAGCCGGCCTCTTGGCCCCTACCTGTGCCTGATAAATGCCCGCTGGATCCCTTGGTCCTAATCCCACAAAGGAACGGTTTGCAGGGGACGTGCCGGGCGTAGAGTAGGCTGCGGGGAGGAGAGAGACCGAGAGCCCGTTAGCGAAGGGGGCCGCACGGGAGCACCCAGAGAGGGTGGCCGCTGCCCAGGGTCACGGAGCACCCAGTGCCCTCCCTCGGCCAATCTGGGCACCCAGAAAAGCCCACAGTTGCAGGCCCCTGGGGTCGCTGGGGAGGGGTGTCTGCTGGGAACGAAGGCACAGGATGAAAGATTCATAATTCAGAAACCGCCTGTGAATTATTCAGGGCGCTCCGCTGCCTGGCCCATCCCACACGGGCACCATCCATTATTGAGGCTACTGTATTTATTAATTTTCCTCCTGGAGAGGCATGGGGAAGTCTGGGTATTTGCATCCACATGCATATAGATATTTGTACTTTAATTTCATCCATCACATTTTGTGGGCGAGTGAATAATTCACGGCTGGGCACCACTGTGGGTCGGGGGCCTCAGTCAGGCTGGGGTTAGGGTGCTGGGCCCCTGCATGGTCTTGGCCAGGGTGAAAGCAAGTGGGAGGCAGTGAGGTTGGGAGGCTCTGGGGGGAAGCAGGCTACACTTGTAGTTAAGAACCCAGTGTCAGGAAGAAGAGAAAATCCATGTTTATTCTGCCACTATTAAGTGTCTATTGTATGCCAGATACTGGGCATAATCCCATTGAACCCCCCGTGGCCTCAATGAAACCAACATTATTTTCCCCATTTCACGGATGAGGAAGTACGCAGCCGGTGACCACCGTCACCACATGCTGACTCTACCCTGCCCTTGATGTCACGCTAGACGTTCTCCCTGGTCTATCTCACTGACTTGCTCCCCATCGCCCGACAAGTCCAGTATTGTGACTGACTCATTTTGCGGCTGAGAAAACTGAGGCTCAGAGAGGGGAGGACATTTGCCCAAGGTCACACAGGGAGTGAGCTGCAGAGGCAGGATTTGAACCCAAGGTCCCGCACTGCATCTGGTGTTCAGACAAAGCCTGTCTGTACCTGAAGCTGCCCTGGGTCTTGGCAGGCAGCGGTTGCTGGGGGCAGGGGGCACTTCATGGAAGGAAGGGGGCCAAGGGGGCCCAGATGGAACTGCTGGCCGCTCTTGCTTGGGTGAGGTCAGGAGTCTTATTTGGGGAGTGAGGAAGAGAGACACTCAAAAGGGGGATGAGGGGCAGAATGAGACCCCGGGGAGAAGCCTGGGGGCTCTGAGACTGCCTGCGCAATGGGGGTTGCTCAGCCCAGGAGGAGGCAGGACAGATGCTCTGGGGGTGCTGGGAGGATGGAGGGGTCAGTGGCTCTGAGCGAGGCAGCCTGGTGAAGTGTACTCGGCCCACCCAGGCCTGCTCTGGGATCTGGGCAGAGCCCCTGCTGATGGGCAGACCCAAGACGGTGAATCTGGGTGTGGCTTCCCCGCCTGGCGCAGCTCCAGATGGGACAAGTGAATGTGTGAGGGGAGGCCAGTGAGCTGTAATCTGGAGATACACCCAGAGGGCAGAAAATTCTAGAAGGTGAGGAGACCAATCCAGGGGCTTCTGCCAGGCTACCACCTGGGGCCACATCAAGAACAGCAAGTTCTACAAGGCAAAGTAGCTCACCCAGGGCCTTCTCAGGGGTCGGGCAAGAAGGTGGGGACTGTCCCATCCATGCCTATGGCTCATTCAGATCACTGGCAAGAACAGGGCCTATTGTGGTTCTTTTTTCTCAGGAACTTGGTACTCTGGAATTTTTATGTAAAATGTCCTGATTTGAACACAATAACAGGTCCTCAATTTCCAAGAAGGGCAGCTGGGGGCCAGGCCTGGCCCTCTGGCCACCATTTGCAGGTCTTCGTCTGTTGTCAGTGGCTTATTGCACAGAGGAAGGCTCAGGGGTCCAGAGTGGGCACATAGGAACCCCAGGCCACGTGGAGCAGGCCATGGACTTGCCCCTGCCATCTCCTAAGGCTTGTATCTGGGAACCCACAGAACCTGCCAGTACCCGCCAGGCTGGGCCTGAGCCCCCAACCCCAGCAGTCGGGGAGGGGAGTGGAGGGGGCCCCTTGGGGACGCCCGCCCTGCCACAGGCACCACTTCCCGAGTGCTTACAGGGTGAGGTTGGTGACGTGCTTCCTCCCTCGTGGGTGGGTTTGGTGGCAGGGGGAAGCGCCAGTCTCGGCAGCCCAGGGGGCGGGGGTGCCAGCATCTGAGCGGAAAGGCAGTGACTGGACATTTTGAGCTGACCACTTCCATTTAACTGGGGGGAACAGAGAGACAGGCGGTTAAGGTGGTGGCACCCCCTCTGCCTCAGGCTGCTGTCCGAGGTCCTGCCGGGGGACGGGGCTGGAAGGCCTGGATGGGTTTGGTGGGTGTGGCCGCAGGCCTCCAGCCTCCTGGGACTGCGCTCCCTTTGTCTCCTCCTTCCGCCACTTTGTACCCACTCGCTGTCCTTCCACGAGATGCCGCCTCATCCTCAACAACACAGGTTGACCTCATGGGTGGTCCCTACACTTTTCCTCATTCACTACCAGGACCTAGCCACCCACCACCTGCCAGCAGTTCCAAAATCCAAAAAGCTCAACACCAAAAGCTTTCTGTGGAAGTCTGGCAGAAGCAGCCCTGAGCTGCAGCCACAGGACCATGTTTGAAGCAGTTCATAAAATGCATGCTGTCAACTCTAACACCTGGAAAGCCCGAATTCTGAACCGGCCCAGCTCCGAGAGCTTCAGAAGAGAACTGTGGACCTCCAACCGTCGGAAAACCACTGGACATGGAGATGCACACCAGAAGGCTGCCTGAGACAGCCCAGGGCCCCAGGGAGGTGGCCTGGAGCCCAGCGCCGGCGGGCCGGTCTGCACCCTCCACACTCACCGGTCCAGGCTGTTGGCTGGCCGGGTCACAGGCCAGTGAGACGAGATCTTTGAGCGGGTCCTGGGGGTTGAGGTGAGGCGGGTAGCGGATGGCTGTGTGAGGAAAGTAGGTGGAGGCCGTCTGGGGCAGGATGGAGGTGGTGGGGAAGTGCAGGGCTGAGGACGGGTGAGGGCTCCGGGCGATCCCTGTGGAGACAGAGAGGGGCGGTTACTGGGGGCCCCGGCTCACCCGCTCTGCTCTCTGGCTGCGTTGGCACGCCGCACCTGCACCGCGTGTATTTGATGATAATGGGAGCAGTGGGACCCAGCAGCAGCCTTGAAGGCCAGGCCTCGGGGTCAGTCCCAGACCAAACTTGCTGACTTTCATGGAAAACCCTTGGAGTTCCAGTGTCATCCTTGTTTTCTGTGTGTTCATTTGAAACAGAGAATGACACCGTGGCTCTCAGATGTTATGTCCTCTGCCCCAGGCCACACGGCAGGCAGACGAGACCGGGTTGGAGCCCAGGCCGTCTGGCCCTGGGGACCCACACCCAGCCCTGGGCTTAGCTAGCTCTTTTTGTAAAGGGCTGAGTGGTCCATTTTTTTCAACTGAGATATAATTTGCATATTATACAGGGGTGGGCAAGAGTTAGCCCCACTACCTCAGGAGGCAGGGGTGCTAACCCAAGCAGGTCACTGAAATTCGGGTTTGTTTACTGATTTTCCAAGACTACAAGAATGTGTAAATAATGACGGCTGGCAATTGGAGAATTTACAAGATGTTACCTAAGTGCACTATGCCACTGTGACATTCTTTTTAATCCTCACCCGAGGACTGAGTTTAAGGGGGGCGGTGGAGCGAGGGAGAGAAACACTGATGTGAGAGAGGAACATCGACAGATTGCCTGTCATAAGCACCTGGACTGGGGACAAACCTGCAACTTAAGGCATTTGCCTCAACTGGGAATTGAACCCGTGACTTTCCGGTTTATGGGACGATGCTCCAACCAACTGAGCCACACCAGCTAGGACCGCGGTGACATTCTTTTGAGTTAGTCAGGCTACCGTGTAATGGTAATAACCTGCGTGCCTTTTTTCATGCAAACAACTGCTGACCTGTTGCTGCCCAGTCCTGCCCAGTTCACCTTTTCAGCCCATGCAAATCCGGCACATTCCCAGAGCTGCCCGGCCGTCACCACGCCCTCCTGTAGGAAATGCTCATCACCCCCCAAAGAAGTCCCTATTCCATCAGCAGTTATCCAAAACGTCACCCTCCCCGGCCCCTGGCGGCCACTTTCTGTCTCTGTGGCTGTGCCTGTGCCTGTTCTGGACGTTTCGCACAAACGGACTCGCACACACACCCTGTGGCCTTTGTGTCTGGCTCCTCTCACCGGGCATCGCGTGGTCCAGGTTCATCTGCGATGTAGCGGGTACCAGAGCCTCGCTCCTTTCCATAACTGAGTAACATTTCATGGTGGTGTTTGTTTTTCCTTTTTCTAAACAAGTTGGCAACTTTTCGTATGTTCACTCTAATTCCAGAACATTCCTACTACCCAAAAAGAAGCCCTGTGCCCCTTCTCTGTCACTCTCCTTTTGTCCCCAGTCCGCGGCTAGACAGTAAATATTTTCGGCTTTTTACCATCTTGTCCCTGCTGCAGCCACTCAACATGGCCCTTGTGGCCTGAGAGCCACCACAGGATGAGTGCAGCCGTGGCTCCATAAAATTTCTGTATAAGAACAGGCTCTGACGGCCGCGGTTTGCCGGACAATGGTCCAAACCGCTGCTCCAGGACTTCTTCCGCCTCCCAGTGCGTGTGTCTGCCCTGGTACGGGGCTAAACTGTTATCCTAACAGCAGGGTGACAGGCAACATTTGAGAGTTCACCGCAGTTTAACTCAGCCCTAACGACAGCTCTGGGAGGGGGAGCCCCGGCTGACAGGTGACGTTAGGGAGGGCCCAGTGCCGAGCACCTGGCTCGGCTTACCCCCCAGGACTGCCAGAGTCTGTTTCCCTCTGTCATCAGAGTGACAGTTCCTGTCTGTGTGGCCAGGAGTGCACCTGTATCCCCTGCGTGGCCTGTGCCTGGCCACGCGCCAGGAGCATCTACCTCCTCCTGTGACCACCCAACACCATCACCTGTCTGTGGGCGGAGTGCAGCATAAGGGAAGCAGGTTGAGGGGCAGCCACAGGCTGGTGCCTCCTTCTCTTGCAAAAGGGGAAACTGAGGCCCAAGGAGACAGAGTCAAGCCTGGGCGCTCCCCGAATGGCGCCTCCAGGCTGCCTTGCTGGGCAGGGAGGCTGTAACAAAAGGACTCCTGCTCAGACGGCTGGTCCTGGTTGGGCTCCCCAGGCCTCCAGGGGACTGAAGAGAGTGCCTCGCCCCCGCCCCACCTGGGGCCCAGGAGCTCACCGCTGTGCACTGCTATGACGGGCCGGTGGTGCTGGGTGAAGCTGGAGAGACGCGGTGAGTCCTGGGGAGACGGGCTGTTGAAAGGTGATTTGTCCATCTCTGTTTTCTTCACCGGGGATGAGATGCCTGTGTTGAGGGGGGTCAGAGGGTCACAGGGCTGCAGGCCACTCCCAAGACCCCAGCCTCTCTACCGGACCCCCTGCTTCTCTCCTAGCAGTCTGTGGGTAAGGGGCTGGGGGAGCCATTTTATAGATGGAGCAAAGCAAGGCTCAGAGCAGAGAAGGGAGCCACCCAAGGGTCCATAGCTTTAATGCCAATGTGGGTCCCTGATATCCCAACCTGGCCCCCTACCTTCTCTCTTTCCAGAGATAAGTCCTCCCAGGGGACGTCAGAGCCCCAGAGAAGGCAGCAGGGTGAGCAAATGGGGGGGGGGGTCCCTGGTGAGCTGAGAGGACACAGATAAGCACCAGAGCTACTGTGCTTGCACTCCCTAATCCTCACAGGGGACAGGAAAGGCCCTTCCTTGCAGAGTCATTGCGGGGTTCACATGAAATACAATGTATGAAATACAATGTATGAAACCATTAGACCCACGCCTGGCACATACCCACTTGCTGGAATGACTTGCTTATTGTCATTCCCCTGAAGATGGAGGCCTCACTACCTCCCCTGCTCTGGCCCTCAGGAACCATGACAATCCAGCCCCTTGCACCTTCTTGATGAATGAATGAATGAATGAATGAATGAATGAATGGTGTAAAACAGGCACATGGAGAATCCATGGAGACCCTGGCACAGAGCAAATACTGGCTCAGGAAGGAGCTGCTGTCATCATGATACATAGGACAGACCACACCAGGGCTGGGCTCACGTTAGCCCGTGTGGTCTTAGATGTTAGAAGAAATGTGAGTGCCCCTCGCTTTCTTTCCTTCCTGCACTCCCCCCTCTACCATCCTCTGAATGTGAGAGCTAAGGGTGGTAGTGTGCCCCTCAAAAAATGCAGCATCCTGGGCCTGGCCCCACCCCTGGCACTGGCATCTCAAAGAAGTGGGGCCAGGAGATGGATATATTTAGAAATTATTTTTAAAATGTATTTTAGAGTAAAATGTCCCCACTGAGAGCATGATGCAGTCTGACTTTCCTGCCACCCAGCACAAGGGCCCCTGCTCCGGGAACTGCCCCTCAGCACTGCTGACACCAGAGCCGTCCCAGGCACTGTGGGGTGCTGAGCGGCATCCCTGGCTGCCACCCACTCGATGCCAGGAGTCCTCCCCACCCCCATGTGCCAGCCATGTATGTCCCTAGCCATCGCCCAGGGCTCCCCATGGGCGGTCACCCCAGTAGGAGCCCCGTCTTCCTCTGAGGCGTGCTGTCACTGTTTCTGGGGTCTGCTGCCCAGGGCTCGGGGTGTGGGCATCTGTACTTGTTCCCTGGCCCTGTCCTGCCCAGCACGCTGTCTCACCCTTTCCCTGTGGCATTTCCACGCAGGGAGAGTCCTGTCTTCTCCAACAGCATAGCTTGGGGTGAACCAGATCTGGGAACCAGGCCCCCGGATGACTCAGGCTGTCACCTGCTTTTGCTGTTACAAATCCCTCCTGCCCTCAATGGCCCTGAGGACGCACTGTGCTGTCTGAATGAGGAAATCCTGGCATGTGGGCCAGCAAAGCCTTGGGAGCCAGAGCCTGGTCCTTCCCAGGGAACAGGAGCAGCTAGTGGGACAGAGAGCTGAGGACAGGAGGGGAGGCTGGCTCTGTAGACTGTGCGTGTGTGTGTGTAGGAGGGGTGGTGTGCTTTCTGCTGGCGCAGGGCTGCGGCAGAACCAGGTTAGTGCTGTCAGACGCTCACTTAGGAGGACTTCCTAGAACAGCCTGTCCTGGATGGAAATAGCTTGGCGTGGACCCGCCCCTCCTGAGCTTCCTGAGATGGGGCCTGTGGAAGCCAGGACAGGACATGGGAGGGGGAGCCCGGCAGGTGCTGCGAGAATAAGAGAATAACCATTCGTGCTCCTGGGCAGGCTCCAGAGGGCCCTGAGCATGCACCCCCACGCTGGGGCATTCCCTGTTTGTTTAGCAAATGGGCCTGCAATGCTCCCATTTGAGCTATTGCTGTCACTTAACACATCCTCCTTCTAAGCACCTGCCCCTCCTTTTAACCTGTAATAGCCCCCTCATCTGAGCGGCCATCTTTCTGTCCGTACACACGGCTGCCAGTCCCTACCGGAGCAGCCTGTAAGCCCCACTGGAGATACACACGTGCCTGTCTGTCTCACTAAAGCACACACTCTAGAAAGAGCAGGCAGGCCCGCACATCTCCCATCCGAGCATCTGTTTGTAGAACAAACAAGGCCACCCCCACTGGACTGCCAGCTCCACTGTGGGTTAATCGAGTGTGATGTAAAGGAAGCAGGCTGAGGGGCAACCCACAGGCTGTGGGGGTGTCCACTCCAGCTGAGTGCGGGCTCGCCAGGGCCTCAGAACACACAAGGCAGTCAACAAGAGTATGTAGTGGATGGAGTGCTTGAATCTGCTGAGACCAGCTGTCATTCAGGGGCATTTACTATGCATTAAGGCCTCTCTCCCTTGGCACTGTGGACACTGGGGACAACCACAGATGTCCTCAGACATTGCCCAGCATCCGCTGGGGGCAAAGTCACCCTAAGTGCGGACCCTTTCTGAGCCTCCTCTCACATCGTCCTCTCAATTACCCTGTGAGAGGCTTCCAGGAGTCACCCCCATTTCACAGATGTGGTGACTAAGGCCTGGCGGGAGGTCACTTGCCCAAGGCCACAGGGTCAAAAAGTGGTGGAGCTGGGATTCAAACCCAACTCTGTAACTCCACAGGCCATGCTCTACCCTATAGGGGGCAGGGGAGAGAGCCAGAGAGCCGGGATGGGGGTGTTGCTTGCTTCACTATGTGAAGGGCCTAACTCCCCAGAAGGGACATAGAAGCAGCAAAAACGAAGCACCCTGGGAGCTGAGCACAGGATGCCCTCTTTCTGCCCCACCTGTCTGAGTAATCAGGGAAGGCCTCTGGAGGAGGTGGCCAGGGGGAGAAAGGGCACTCCGGGCCCAGGCGTAGACAGGGCAATGGCCTGGAGGGAGGCCGACTTATGGGGTCTGAAAGATGTGGCTGCAGGGGTCTTGCCTGGGCGGAGACGGCATGACCTCCTTCTGACCTCTAAGCAACAGAGTGAGGCCCCTGGAGTTGGTTAGCTGAGCACTGCCCTTGGCAGCCACAACAGAAGGGAGAGAGTGCTCCAATCAGCTTAATCCCCTTAATGAGCAGCTAATTGGGGGCTGTCTAGACAGGAAGCTGGAGGAAACCAGGAGGAGAAAGAGAAGGAGGGGAAAGGAGGAGGAGGGGGGAAAGAGGACACATGTATCCATCTTCTCTACTAGGCTGTGAGCACCTGAAGGGCAGGGACAGACATATAGCAGGGTTTTTAGTGAGGCTCCCCTAGGAGGGAGTGAGTTTGCCATCACCAGAGACAACCAATGGAAGCTGGAGGGGAACAGACTGCCTGTAATGTGCTCTTCCAGCTCCCTAATTCCCCCATTCCACACCAGAGGCTGGTACAGGGTTCCTTCTTGTTCCGCCACTGGTGCCACTCAGCTCTCAGGGCAGGAAGGTCAGACCAAGCCACAGTGACTCGCTCTAACATTTCCTTCCTTTTAAAACTTTGCTTTTCTTTTTTGAGCTTCCTGAATTGAAAGCTAGGTTCATTATTTCTGATCTTGCTCTAATCAATACTTAAGGCTATAATTTTACCTCTCAGGGCTGCTATGGCTACATCACAGAGTCTGTCTTTCATGTCTAAATACTATATATTTTACACTTCAATCACAGAGTTACTGAGAAGTGTTTTTGAGTTCCCAATCAGTAAATGACAGGGAAGAAGTCTTCCAATATCTGCTCTACCCTCAGTAACAGAACCCTTAAATTTTAGAAGGGCACATAATTGACTACAATAAGACTACAGCTCCCAGGGTCCCTTGTAGCAAAGTACGGTCACGTGACTCAGGGACATAGAGATAAGCGGTTGTGATTAAGTGCATCTTCAGAGAATTATTTTTAAAGGGAGAGGACATGCCCAGTCTTGACCCTTCTTCTTTCCTGCCGGCTGGAAGGCAGAAGCAGTTGTTTTGGACCATGAGGTGGAAATGAAAACCTCATTTCGTGAAATAAAAGGTAGGAGTTACTTTACATCACACTTGCCACGGTTACTGATGGCTGGACATTTCTTGTAAGAGAAATACATTGCCCTTTTGAGTTTCTGTTTCTCACAATCAAATTTAAGGCTTACTGAATACAGGGTCTTTTTTTTTCCCCAAAGGGAAACTTTTAAAAAGATTTTCTTTATTTTTAGAGAGAAATGGAAGGAGAAAGAGTGGAAGAGAAACATCAGCTCACACACCCCCAACCAGGGGCCCAGCCCACAACCCAGGCATGTGCCCCAACCAGGAATAGAGCCCGTGACTTTTTTGGTTCTCAGGATGATGCCCAACCCACTGAGCCATACCAGTCAGGGCTGAATTCGGGGTCTTTATAGAGACCAACCTGGCAGAGACAGGGAACCCACAGAGACCCTCTGACCCATAAACTAGAACTTGATGAATACAGACAAGTCCTCCAAAATAGGTACCTGCTTTGGGAGTACACACCATGGAAGAAAGAGGACCCTTGAGACCTCAAAAGTAACAACCCAAAGTGTTAGAGACCAATTCAGAGAGATGGGAATTTTATAAAATATGAGCAACAATAAACTCTACTGTTTCCTGGGTAGTTATCATGCATCATACAGATGCTCTATGCACATTCTACCACTTCGTCCTTCCAACTTTCTGAAAGAAGACTTATCTCATCACTCCCATTTTGGAATGAGAAAACTGAGGCTCAGGTAAGCTACCTGCCCAAGGTTACACAGCCCACACAGTGAGTCAAGGGCGAAACTGGGAGTAGAACCCAGGTCTCTCTGATGACTGACCCTGCCCTCTTCATTGTAATGTTCCTTTCCAGGAACCCTGTAGATAGTGCACTTTGTGCAGGCAGATCTTTATTAAAAAGCAGGATCTACAGGTATAGGGAGAAAGAGAGGAAAGGGGGAGGAGAAAACAGATCCTAAGGTTTCCTGGGTCCTTGTTATGTGACAGGCCAGTTCCAGGGACATCAGATGTATTGATTTACTTAATCCCCACAACACTACTACAAGCTGAGTCCTGCAGATATTAACGTCCCTTTTTCACAAGTGAGAAAACCAAGGTTCAGAGGTGGGGTCACTAGGAAGCTATAGGGACTGGTGGACTCTAGAGTCTATGTTCATAACCACTAGGTTATCTCCTGGGGTGAGCCCTTAATAAGGGATAAGGGACTAGATAGAATGATGCGTCTAAAATTGCGAAACACAGACCTTGCTGATAAGCCCAGAGATAACAGTGACGCCTGCTCCAAAGTAACGCAAGCCTGAGGACCACTTTGCACACCATTTCTTTAGTCACGGATGCCAGTCCGCTAGAAAAAAACCTTAACGCGAAAAGGGATTTTTCAGATGAGAACCGTGCTGGAGACTGGGGGAGATGATATGCAAAGAATCCCCAGGAGTTAGCACTCAACAGAAAAGAGACACTTCAGAACTGCTGCCCATGAGAAAGAGTCTGGAGAAGACCCTGTGAAGACAGAAGAGCAATAGAACAAAATCCCCCTGGAAAAGGTCACTATGAGAAAAAAGACGGGGCTCCTACAGAACTGGAATCACAAAGGGGATCGATCCCATGGAGATAGGAATCTCGTAAACACAGGAACTTCACGAAGGACCCCACTGAGATGGGATCCTACAACTCAGGACCCTCTAGATGAAGACCATGGAACACTCCAGGAAGAAGCACCTTGTTGATCAGAATCACTATAAAGTCAATTCTATAAATCAATAACCCCACTGAGATTTGCCCCTGCCTAGCAAAGAACAGGAAGTCGGGCGAGGAAGAGACTCCGCCCCCCCCCCCCCCCCCCGGCCCAGGGCGGAACCCAAAAGCTCCGAAACTTCAGCCCGAACGCAAGCGCGTAACTACAATTACCGTGGGGCCTTACGGACCCAGACCCGCTTCCCGCCCTCTGGCGCGCGCGCAGTGCCTGCTGGGATACGTAGTCCCTGCCGCAGAACCCTGACCGGAAAACCGGTTTCACTCTCGCCGCCAGCCCCACCTCCTTCCATGTCTTCCGTCCAGTTTCGGCTGCTACTCGTGGGAGAGCTGGGCGACGTGTAGTAATCGCCGCCAGGGCTTGTGTCCACGTCTTCCTCCATCGAGCCCGATTTGTGCCGTTTGCTCCTGAGGGGTGAGGAAAGAAGAATGCAAGCCGGTTACCACGGAGATGTGGGCGGAGGCGGCGGGTTTTGCTAATTTCCGATCCTTATAGGGCGGGGCGAGAAGGGTGCTCTCGCGAGACATCATGCAGCCACAGACTCATCCAGTGCCCTTAACACCTGTTTCAACCTGCAGATAACACCTAGGGCCAGAGGCGGGGAGAGACTCAGCTGAGGTCACACAGCAAGCGAGCAGAATGCTGACTAAAGACTTAAGGCCTGGCCAGTCACTTGGCCTACTGTAATCCCCAGAACAACTGGTAGGATTATGATCCCTTTTTACAGATGAGGAAACAGAGGCAAACACGATGACACCAGTTTTTGCTGACATGTGCTGTGTGACCATGTGACCATGAGTTCATGGTCACACAGCACATGTCAGCAAAAACTGGTGTCTTCATTCCCATGGAGTCTCAAGGGTTGGGCCTGCAGGACTCAAGCCCAGAGTGGGATGACAGGGCTGGGGAAATGCGCACTTGGGGCTTGGTTTTGAAGGATGAGTAAGTGTTTCCTAAGTGGACCATGAAAACAAGCATTTCAGGGAAAGGAATCAATCACCTGCGGCCAGGTGATGGTAGGCAAGAGGTCATGAAATGCCCAGAGATGAGGACCCAAGCACGTACCCACTGGAGGAAGTGCTGGGTAGCGTTCTTCTCATGCCGGTGCTGGCTGGATTCAGGTCATATGCCAGGTGCCCCTGCAGCTCCCCCAGGGAGAAGTTGGGTCCTGTTCCAGTCACCACAGGTGCTGCAGAGAGAGACAGGGGAGAATGAAGGAAGGAGTAAAGTCCAGGGCTGCAATTTGCCCTGGAGCAGTGGGGAGAACCCCTTCTTAAATTGGCCTTGTTCCTAATTTGGCTGAAACTGGTTTTATTCAATGAATCAAAAGACCAAGGCCATCAAAAGAGGCGAAGGTCATGCTGTGAGGCAGAGGCATAGCCAAAGCTGGAGCCCAAATTTTCCAACACATCCAGAGGCTGATCTGGACAGGACAACAATGGTCAGGGTTAAGTAGAACTCCCTGGGATGGGATTCAAATGGGGTTGTCTGAGGGAACGGGGTGAGTTCCTAATAGGTTTATAGGGAAGGCAAGGGGGCAGGAAGCAAAATGGGGGTTAGGGCCTCCTGGGGCTCCCCTCTGGGACAGGGCGGGGGAGACCCCAGGAAGGAGGGACTCTGGGAAGGTTTTTCAGCCCCTCCACCCAACATTTGGAGTCTGTTTCCTGGGAAGAAGCATGTCATCCTGATCCTGAGTTCTGGAAAGGGCCTGGATACTGCCCTTCCTAGAAACCTTGGCTTGATGACAGGGTAGCTGGAGAGAACGAGGAGGGAAGTGGAGGGTGATGGGTTCTTCCTCCTCCCTGAGCCCCTCCCCTCTCCCTGAGAACCTTTCCCTTATGGAGCCTCCATCCTGAAGCTCCTTCTGCTCTCCAACACCCCTCCTCCTGAACAAGCCCCTTCCCTCTCTGGGTCTCAGCCTAGGGTGTGTGGGAGCACTCACTCCTGGACACTTGGATGAGCTCGGTGACACTGAACACACCGGAGGTGACGAAGCTCTCCTGGAAGTCAGTTGTGTCTGCAACAGGGAAAGAATGGGCATCAGTGGGTCTGTTTCCCTCAGTCAACACCCTGGTGCTGCCCAGACTCTGGGAGTGGAAACCAGCCTGGGCAGTCACCTCCCCATCCCTGAAGCCCTGCAATGGTGGGGCTATCCAGCTAAGCCTCTCCACCTGGATGGGGGTCCCTCTGCCCTTACACCTCTAAAGTGGATGTTCCTATTATTTGCAGTCAGCCTCCCTTTCTCTGGGGATTCGGGGCTCCCCAAGATGCAGCAGACTGCAAGCAGAGGCCAGATCCTGGTTCATCCACTCAGTAGTGGTCTTGGGCAAATCCCTTCCCCTCCATGCTAATCTCGAAAATAGGAACCTATACCCTGTTGTCCGAGCAGCTGTGAGATACGAACCAAAATATCGAGGAGGGGTAGGCTTGCTTTCCTCGAATCAGTCATCACCCTAGGCAATGCTGCCATTTAGTGTCCTCCCTCCAGACAGAGCTTCACAGACACAGGGCTGTCTCTGTCTAGGCCACGCCTTGTCCTCAGTGCCTAGACCAAAGCCTGGCAGAAAGGCTCACAACCACAGGCTGAATGGAGGGTTCGCAGATAGCAATTAAAATCCTGTGTCCCCAGAGGGACTCTCCTCTCTGGGCTGGGATGGTTAGTACATAAGTGTTCACAGCAACATGACTCACAAAAGCCCAAACTGGAAACAACCCGGTGTCCGTGGATGGATGAATACGTAAACCCACTGTGGTCTCTCCAGGCAGTGGACTATTACTCAGCCATGAAAAGGAATGGAGCACTGACACTCGCTATATCGTGGATGGACCTTGAACACATGGTGTTCAGGGGGAGAAGCCAGACACAAAAGACCACACCATGTGTGATTCCATTTATGTGAAATGCCCAGAACAGACAATTCCACAGAGATAGAGAGTTAGTTTGTGGTTGCCAGGGGCTGGGCAGTGACTACTAAGGGGGAATGAGGTTTCTTTTGGGGTGGTGGAATGTGCTAGAACTAGAAAGCGGTGATGGTCACACAACATTGTGGATATACTTACTGCCACTGAACGTTCCATTTTAATATGGTTAAAGTGAAACAATTTATCTTACGTGTATTTTATCACAATACAGAAAAACACTTCGATCGCTCTAAGTCCAACATGAGCTGTGTCAGGCAGGGCTGGGGAAGCGTACTGGGAAGGGGGCCTATCTTACACACGGGGCTCAGAGAAAGCCTCACTGAGAGAGTAACGTTTCACCAAGACCTCAGGGTGCTACCGGTGGACAGCAGGAATACATGAGTTAACGTTTGTTAAGTGCCAAGGACAGCATGTGGCACGGGGTAATGGCCCTGTGAGTGTTGCTACTCTGGTTAGGATGATCATAAATGTGATGTTTGGCCTGGGGGCCACAAAGTTCCTGGTGGCCAGAACAGCCTGTGCAAAGGCCCAGGGGTTGGAACATATTTGTCAAGTTGGAGGCCAACAGGGCTGGAGTGGAAAGAGCTTCTGATTCCTTTCCATTCTATGGGCTCTGCTCCCAGCTCTGCTAAAGGGAGAGTGGTCAGAGAGGACAGGGGATGGGCAGGCAGGAATCTCTAGGCTTGGGCAGGAGTGTGTGCTGGGAGCAGTTCTTGTGGCCCCTAGGGGGCAGCACTGGCCACAGGGAGCTCACTATAATGCTCACTTCCCCAGCTGTCTGACATCCTGGAGAGTCCAGGAACCAGTCTTCCTGGTTACAAGCTTTGTGCTCACCATTTATTGAGCACTTACTAGCTTCCCAGGTTCATGCTGGGAGGCTCAAGGCCACAACATCCCAGGGAGGACAGGGCAGTGGACCCCCAGTATCCAAGGCAAGTGGCCATGGCTGCTTCCTGCTGACCCAACTGGCCAGCTGGTGTCAGCAGGCCCCTCTGCCCTCCCCCACCGGTGTTTCCTGTTTGTGCAGCACTCGCCCAGCTCCATCTCCAGGGGACTCCCTGGCGGGCCAGGGAGGAAGTGATTTCTTCCACCAGACACTGGAGCTCCGCAGGGGACCAGGCCAACCCTGTACAGCTGACCCCTCCTTCCTTGAACATCTGGTTTAGAGGGAGGCTCCTGGGGATCTCAGGAGGCCAAGGAGGACTCCGGTCAGAGGTGACCAGTGAGGAGTGGCCTGGGGGCCTGTGAATCTCCTGGAACCAGCCAGCCTCCCTGGGCATGGCTGTGCCAGCCCATCCAACGGGACTCCCTCACACGGCGGCCGTTCCTTCCTTCCCTCCTCTGCAGCTCTCCTCCTTTCTTGTCCCTGATGTACCATCTCTTCACTTTCTCTTTTTCTCCCACTTCATGCTTCCCTCCCTCCTTTCTTTCTCTCTACAAATATTTATGGAGCACCTGCTCTGTACCAGATTCTATTCCAGGCACTGAGGACACACTAATAAGACAGACAAAAACCTGTGCCCTCAAGGAGGTCATGTTCCGTTGGGGAAGGCAAGCAAACACATACGCAACCACTAACTGTCTCTGAAGGACATAAAAAACACAGAGCGCTGATCAATCGAGAGTGGCTGAGGCTGCTTGAGCTGAGGGGGCTCAGGGAAGAGCTCTTTGAGAGGGATGCGTCTGAGCTGAGACCTGGGAGATCTGGAGAGAGAGACAGCAGGTACCCATCCAAGCAGAGGTCACAGCACATGCAAAGGCCCCAAGTCAGGACAGTGCCTGGCATGTTAAGGAACAAGGAGCCCTATGTCGCTGGAGCAGAGTGAGCAAGAGGGAGAGAAGGAAGAGGAGGGCGGGGAGGACAGGGTGGGGGGCAGGTTGTGCAGAGCCTTGTGGGAAGGACTTGGGCTCACGCCCCACCTGAAGGTGGGAGCTCTGGAGGGCTTTGGGCAGAGGAGGGTTGTGACCTACCCCAGGTGGTCCCAGGCATCCCCTGGTCACTTTGAGCAAGACAGACTGTAGTGATCGGGATGGGGGACAGAAGCAACTTCTAAACCCTTCCCATTCTTTGGGGGCTCTGCTCCCAGCCCTGCTTCAAGCAAATTCCCCCACTTTCCACCTCCCAAAATAGAATGGACTTGTCCCACATATTGTTAAATGTCCCATGGGACTGTAGGGCCCTCTACAGGGCCTCTCTGGTGAGGTGAGTACCTCTGAGCCCTGACGCTCCCTGGGTGGCACCTTAACCTCTCTGATCTCAGCTTCCTCACGGGCAAAGTGGCGCACAGCCGCTCCCCCAGGGCAGAGCTGTGAGGAGTACACCATTCCTGTGTGTGAGGCGCCCACACAGCCGCCAGAGCACATGAGGGGTGCTCAGGCTCTAGCTTCCAAATAAAAGATGGGGAAGGGGCCTTGCGCCCCACCCCTCAAGTGAGTTCCCCAGACTCACCCAGAGTGATGGGCTTGCTGTCCTCCTGGTCGGAGCCCATCCCGGCCCGGGGACTGCCGCTCTGCTCCGCATCTGCAAAGAGAAGGAAGGGGTGGTGATGCAGGATAGCCCCTGAACACGTGAGGCCCTGGGGTCTCTGCTTGGTCCTCTCCCTTGGCTGCTGCCCCAGAAGGCCACAGAGGTCTGGCCTGGCACCTGCAGACATCAGCGCAGGTCCCCAGGGCTCATGTGCACCCACGTGCTGGAATGTGGTCTCACACACAGGGCGAGAAGCTTTGTGCAGGGGCTGGTTCGGTAGAGGGTTAGAGCTCCTCTCTTATGAGCCTCAGTCTCCTCATCCGTGAAATGGGGTAACTCATTCAATCCTGCCTTGGCCCTAGGAGGTAGAGGCTGCCATGCCCATCTTACAGATGGGGAAACTGAGGGCAAGAGAAATGAATCCTCGGACCCTCTCCCCTTGGCTTCTGCCCTTGATGTCCTGAGGGTTCAGCCTCAGTCTTGGGGTGCCACTCAGGACCTCCAGAAAAAGGGCCAAGAGGTGTTCCTCTGCGGCTGCAATGCCCCCCGCCCGCCTGGCTTGAGGGCTCCCTTCTGCCCCAGCACCCGCCCATCCATCTTATCTAAAAATAATCAGGCTCCTTGGCAGACGAGTGTAGCAGACAGACGCTGAGCTCAGCTCTTATTGGCTCCAGGAGCCTGGATGGAGAGTGATCACGCCAGCTCCCTCTGCAGCCCCCACATCCACCCAGGACCAGGCTAAGGGGGGCACATGGCCAAGTTCAGCTGGATGGAGCCCAGGACCCACTCATTTTGTCCCTCAGGTCAAACAGAAAGGTGGTGGGAATCACCATTGAATACCAGAGAGAGAGAATTGCATCCCCACACTGGCCCGCCATACCCCAGAGCCGGAAGTGATCACTGTGTGACCTTAGACACGTCACTTAACTGTTGAGAGTTGTTGTTTTCTCTTCTTTCAAATGGGTGTGAGCACCGCCCAGGCCTGATGGGGTTGCCAGGAGGTGGCAAGGAGACAACACATACGACGTGCTCCGGCGTTCGGCGTTCGCAGGGAGACATCCACCACATTATCATTGTTATTTTTAAATCCCTAAGATGACCGCCGATGTGGCACTTACTGTTCCTGTTTTCTATGTTCCCCTGAATCCTTAAGGTAGCCACAAAACTGGCACCGTTGTTGTATCCGTTTTATAGGCAAGGAAAACAGGACTGGAGAGGTGAAAAGGTCCCCGCCCCAGCCACTTGCACTGTTATGAGGGTCACAGTTAAACCTTGAACAATGTGGGGGTTAGGAGAACTGGTGAAGATCCTCCAAAACCTTAACTGATAGCTTATTGTTGACCAAAAGCCTCACCACTAACATAAAGTCTAATACATGTTTTGTATATTCTATGTATTATATACTGTATTCTTACAATAAAGTAAGTTGGAGGAGAGAAAAAGGTTATTCAAGAAAGCCTAAGGAATAGAAAAAGTATTTTTCAGTATTTACTGAAAAAAAAAATCTGCGTATAAGTGGATCTGCACTGTTCAAACCCATGTTGCCCAAGGGTCAACTGTATTTCGTTCCTGCGTCTGGGCAGGCAGCCAGACACCCAACACTGCGCGTGCGTGAGCCATCTGGCTTCTGGGATCAGATGCCTGAGTTCCCAGTGTCTGTGAGCTTCAGAGGAGGTGTGGTTGTGGGGAGGTCACTTCCCCTCTGGGGGGCCTCAGTTCCCTCAGTGTTGTCATGGAGATAATAATAATGATGATACTTCCTAAAATGGTCACGAGCCCTTGCCGTTTGCCTGGTGCTGTGCTAGTGGCTCTGCACACACTGTGCATTGCACACCTACTGGCTGCCAAGATCGAGTGTACCATATACAGCAGGGCCCCATGCCTCAGTTTCCCATCCAGGAGTGGGATGGGAGCAGTTGCTTCTTGACTTGGCTTTGCAGCCCCAGCTGTGGCCGACTGGGCAGCAGCGGAGGGGAGCTTGCCCGGCTCGGCCTTGAGCCCTGTGGCCACTCCAAGGTTGGGCAGCCAGCAGCCCCTCAGAGCCGGCCAGTCCTGCTTGGATGGCTCCACGGCTGGGCACGGGTGGCCACTCTGTTGGGAAGCACCCAGCCTGGGCAGTCATCCGTTGGGCTCTGGGCCTCGGGCACAGGACCCTCTTCCGGAACTGGTGCCTACATGGACTGAGCAGGCAGCAGTGCCAGGCTGGCACTCAGGAAGAGGGCATGCTTCTTGAGCACTGCCTCTGTGCTTGTGGCTTTGGAACCAGGCAGATGAGGCTGAGGGCTTCAGGTGCAATGCCTCGTTTCTCTCTGTGCCTCACTCTCTTCATCTGTGAAATGGGCACAGCACCTCCCTAGAAGGCTGCTCACCAGAGAAAAGGTGGTAATACATGCAATAAAGTGCCTGAAACAAAGGCCGGAGTGTAGTCAAGTACCTCACCAACTGGAGGAGGGACCTTATTACTGTTATTACCAGCTCTGTTGTCTTTTGTGCCTCAGTTGTTCTGTATTCATTAAAAGCAACTGCACTAGGCTATGGCTGGCCCTAGTTGGAGCCCTTCTCTCACTGTTCATTCGCTCTATGTCCTTGGGCCAGCACAACCACTCTCTGGGCCTTAGTTTCCTCATCTGTAAAATGGGGAAGATAATTAATTCCCCCTCCCAGGGTTTATTGAGTCTCCTACTTAGCTAAGATTAATTGTAAAGAAGTGCCACCAAATTGACAATCCATACATGGTGAGTTTGGGGACAGATTATAAACAATACTGTTTTTAATTTAATTTTTGTTTCTAAGTGTCTATTGCTAGCATTTGGAAATGTGATTGGTTTTGTGTGTTAAACTTGTATTCTGCAACCTTGATGAATTTACTTCTTAGTTCCAAGAGCTTTTTGTTTTGGGGTTTTTATTTTTCAGATTCCTTGGAATTTTTTATGTAGACCATGATGTCCTTTGCAACAAAATGGGAACAGTTTTATTTCTTCCTTTCCAATCTGTATGCCCCTCATTTCCTTTTCTTACCTTATTGCACTGGCTAGGATTTCGAGAGCAATGTTAAAGAGCTGTGAAGGGGGCAGGAGTCCTTGTGTTGCTTCTGAGTTTAGGGAACTCTTTCAATCTCTCACCACTAAGTCTGATGTTACCTGGGAGTTTCTACAGATCCCTTCATTGGGTTGAAGAAGACCTCTTCCTTTTCCATAGTCCTAGGAAATATTTTTCCATTTAAATCAGTAGAGTTTCCAAATAATATGATGCTGTGCTTATATGCCATGTCATTAATTTTTTTATTTTACTTCATTTTCACTAAGGAATTATTTTACTGTATTTGTTCCCTTACCATTTATCCCCCTTATACCATCTTCCACCTCCACCCCTCACCTCATTAAAATTTTAAAAAATTTATTATTTAGATTGTGGTTAAATACATCACATAAAATGTACTGTTTAACCATTTCTAAGTGCACAGCTCAGCGGCATTATGTGAATTCACAGGTTTTGTACAACCATCCCCACTGTCCATCTCCACAACTTTCTCTTTCCCAAACTGACACTCTGATTCCATTAAACACTAACTCTCCCTCCTCCTCCCCCATCCCTGGCCCCCACCATCTACTTCCTGTCTCTGCAAATCTGACTCCTCTGGGGACCTCATCTGAGTGGGGTCAGACAGTGTTTGTCCTACTGTGTCTGGCTTATTTCACTGAACATGACGTCCTCCGGGTTCATCCACATTATGGCATGTGTCAGAATTTTCTTCTTTTTTATTATGCCATCTTATTTTTCATCATCTCTAAGACCTTAAAACATTTCTCATCCACCTGCTGACCACTTGCCCGTCATTTGGCTCCTGAAAACTCCCCAGCTTCTAGAGCTGTCGTCTGGTATAGGAGCCGCTGGCCACATGTCGCTTCCCACTGAAGTGAGCTGAACTGGAATTAAGTTAAATTTTCAGGACATCAGTTGCGCTGGTCACCTTTCGATAATTGCCATACATGGCTGGTGGCGACCGAACTGGGCAGTGCGGAACACTGCTGTAATCACCAGAAGTTCTGCTGGGCTTCTCTAGATGTCCCATGAAAATTCAGGAAAAAAAGGCTTGGCTAACTCCTCCTCCCATGTCCTCAGACATCCAGCCTGAAATTGGATCGTCCCTCAGTCTGAACTGTGCGCCCACAGTAGATGGTGTCTAAAGGCCGCTGGCGTCCAGGGCCCCAGGATGCCCCAGCCTCCAAGTGGGTGGCTTTCAGTTGCTGAGCTCTCACTCTGTTAAGAGCTACATGGCACCATCTGAGGAAACCCGCCCAGTTGATGACTTTGGTAAACTGAAGTCCAGCTCAGTATCTATTTCCCAAAGCTGATGTCAATTAGAAGTTGTCTGCCTAGTACAGAGGGTTTTTTGTTGTTATTGTTGTTGTTTGAGATTTTATTTACTTATTTTTAGAGGGGAAAGGAGGGAGAAAGAGAGGGAGAGCAATATCGGTTCATGGTTGCCTCTCAAGCGTCCCCTACTGTGCCCAGTCAGGGCACAACCCAGGCATGTGCCCTGACTGGGAATCAAACTGGTAACCCTTTGGTTTGCAGACCAGCACTCAGTCCACTGAACTACACCAGCCAGGGCTCACAGAGGTTCTTAACTGGGATGACTCTGCCCCTTGGGATGATGTCTGGGGACATCTGTACTTGTCACACTGGGCGTGCCCCTGGCATCAAGTGGGTGGGGTCAGGGATGCTGTTCAACACCCCACAGTGTCCAGGATGGCCCCCCTGCAGAGAACCACCTGGCCCAAATTTCAGCAGTGGGTCAAACACTGGTTCTCCGTGGGGCAGTAAAGGGGCTAAAGAATTTTGCTTTTTTTATGTATAAAGCCTATGTATAGATACACACCACAGAAACAGGTGCATAATACACCGTGGTATTAAAGTGTTATGGTGTGAAGTGATTGATTAGGGAACAAATGTCTAAAAAGACTCTTTGGGGGAGGCAATAATGATATAAAAAAAGGGTCATGCACATTTTTAAAGGGCTGTAAAAAGAAGAAAAAAACATGAGACGGAAA